GTTTTCGGGTTTCTTTAGCTCCCCCTTAACGATAGGCCAGTAGTCCATGTCGTCCAAGATGTCCTCCATCCGGACCGTCCATGGCACGAAATTTTCGGGTCCGCGAAGGGGTTCGATGCGGTGGCCGCCACCACCGTAGATAGCTGTCGTCCGTTCACTGTCCGCCGACATGCTGTCGTATCGTTACTCGATAATCGTGCTGATGCGGGTGTTGAGACTTGGTGTGAGAGCGAAATTTCAGGGTGCGAGGTAAGTTCGTTGATGCGGTCTACGCCGCGGGGCTCATAACCTCTTGTAGAGGAGTTCGAGCACACGAGAGAATGAGGGGAATTGGCTGATTTTCTTTTAATTGTACGAGGCGTACAACGTGTATATATACACGATGAATACAAAGGAGGCGTGTGCCACTGCGTCACAGACAAAAGGGGGTGGCACCAAAAGCACGCACCATACGGCCACAAACGATATGACATGAGCCTCTCGTTTGTCGGGTGCGCCAAACGTGAACTACGACAATTCTTGGCCATGGAGGCTCGATCTTTGCTATATTGCTATAAGGTTTGCACAGCGATCAGGATTCGAATTGATGAATTACTAGCGAACCGTATATAGCAGACTCAAAGCAATGCGGACACCTGCAGTTCGCTTGCCTCTGTACATCGACCACCTCGGCGACACCATGGCTCTCCCACAGCAGAATACGGACGACATGAGGCGCACAATGTGTCTGGCATTCGCTCGAGGAGAATGTCACCGCCAAGATTGTCCGTACAGTCATACTCTCATCGATCCAACTCGGTTGCTCCGGCTCGTCGGCGACGTCACGATGCATTTCAACGACGAAGCGGAGCATATATGCCTATCTCTCAGTCACAGCCTTGCCGGGCACGAACAGTGGAGAGTTGTGCTAAATGATAGGCACAGCGGGCCTCTGGAAGTCCGCGCAAACACCCTCACGGATGCCTTGCGAGAGCTTGAAACGCAAAAATTCGGACATATTGCTGAGGTAAAGTGTATAGGGAACATCGTTCAGCGCACGGAACTGAACAGGATTGCAGGCGCAATGGACACAAGGTGATTCGCAGTCCACCCTTTGCAGCGAATCTCAGCAAGGTCGCTGCTCAAGGGAAGGGCGCTGCCAATACAGACATGGCTTGATCGACATTGCACTCCTGGAAGCCTCGGCACGCCGGCTGCGCAGGGCAAATGCATTCCCAGAAGCATCGCTCGGCATGGAATATGTACGGTCGTCCACGGACAGAGCTGTCTGGAGGGTCGTACAACGATTCGGGCTGCGAGAGTCTAATACAATATCCACACATGCAGAACTCGCCCATGCATTCAGCGCGCTTGCTTTTCGCTTCTTCATCGCTCTTCAAACTGAGATCTCCACTGGATCTCTCCCCGCTGTGGTACGTAATGCGCATAGGACGTTGCCATGCTAAACCATGTGTCTCACCGATCTTTCCTCTTATTTTGCACAGGCGTCTGCTTCATCATCTTTGACGTTGCCACAGGAGCAGATCTCCCCAACCCGTGAGCGCCCGGCTGCTTCCATCTCAGATGAGGCACCACCAAGCTACTCCGATATATACGGTACTACGTCCGCAGAAGCGGACCACAGCACAGGTTCTACAAACAGAGCTCCCTTGCCTCCAGCCACATCCCAGCTCCCCACTTTCGCACCATACAACTACGGCGCCACAGCGAACGGGCTGATGAGCACCTATCTCATATCGCTGCGGCGGATAGACCCAACACTATCCGACGCCGTTTCCGACATTCTGCAAAGATCTCCCCAGCTTCGTGATGCGTTGCTCCGCGAACTGTCAAGGAACGCCGCTACAAGCCGGCCTCGCATGTATTCGGCGAACTACATCCTGAGAAGCGGGGATATTTTGCCCGCGCCGGTGACGCAAAGCACCAATGAAAGACGAATGCCGGAGAAGAGTCTTGATACGGTACGATTTGTGGTTTCGTGCGTCCTTCTCGCTCCCATCGTCGTAGTCATCGTACTGCACTGGCCCGAGGTCTCAGACTTCTTACTACGGGCGCTGAAGTACTACGCTATATTTATTGGGGGATGGCTGGCCATTAGCTTCCTCTGTCTCGCATGTTGCTCTTCGTCTGAGCATGCTCCATCGGTCAGATCAGTGTAGTAGTCGGGATTTCACTTCTGCGTGCCTTCCTTTCCTTCCGTACTGTAGCTCTGCCTCAATTCTGCGGATCCCACACATGTGTATGACCCTGTTGTCCTAAGCTGCTCAAACTTGTATTGGACCATATATACGCAGTGCATCGCATTATTGCTTCGTGCACATCTCGTCAGAAAGCGGTCTTTATTTGCGCTCATTTGGGCCAGGGCGCCACGAGCAGAAGCGTGGGAAACGCACGCTCACGTGACATAGTATCGCGCGTGTTGTCGAACTTTGGATGCGACCAGATCTTGTTCTTTCTTGACAATAGTCACTAGGGTCCCGTCCTTCCAAACTCGTCGCCTTTACCCACGACAGATTTGAACACTATCTCGCGAGCATCGTGGGGGGTTTCTGTATACTTCCCGTGCGACGATGGACCAACCTGTGGTCCAAGGTGCGTCTCCAACTTGCTCACGGGGATCAACTCACGTACCGTGCGTAGATATACCAGACATGGAAGTCATAGCACGGACACTGGAGCGCATCAGGGGAGAGAGGGATGCGCTGAGAATCGAACGAGACGCCTTGCGGCGAGACTTTGACTTCCTCAAGGTTGAAACACGGTTCACGACCGAGAGCTTGAGGAAGCAACTCCAAGCGGCCATCCCCTCCTCCCCTCCTGCATCAAGACACCATGCGACGTACTCTGTGGACAGTGGCCACCTCGAGCGAGCGGCTATAGTCTCGGCCCTCGTCGTTCAACACCTGCAGTCTGAGCGCGAGCTTGACGCATCACACATAGCCTCGCTTTCACACACAGTCCACAAGGCCCAGAAACGGGCAGAGGGTGCGGAACTGATATCACGGGAGAGGGAAGTAGAGCTACGGAAGATCAGGAAGGAGGACGCCGAGATGCGAGACACCCTGACCATGGCTGAGGTCAAGCTCACCAACAGCGAGCGGAAGATGGCAGACCTCACGACCCTCGTAAGCCGGCTCGAGCAAGACCTCCACCAAGAACGCGCCGACCAAACTGAGACTCGTGTTATGTTGGCGCGTGCCGAGTCATGCGTTGCCGAGCTGTCAAAGACTCTCGACGACTCAGAATCGCTTCGGAACTCGCTCGCTCTTCAAGCCACGCACCTCGAGCAGGACTTGCATAATGCGAAGACAGAGCTCGAAGAGTCAGAAGGGCGCTACCACGTATTGCAGCAACAGCAGCTCGCGGCCATGTCGGCCCATGAGGCCACCAAGGCTCTCAGGAAGCAAATCGAAGAACTCGAGAGTCGTGTTCTGCGCCGCACAGAACAGATTGGCGTACACCAGCATGACATCAAGAAGCTCGAGATGAACTTACGCCTTCAGGAGGAACGAGTAACGGAGCTCACTGGTGACGTTGATGTGCTGGAGACGGAGAAGTTGGCAATGGTTGAGGACTGCAGGACGACAAGGGAGGAGCGAGATACAGCACTGAGACGATGCGAAGCGCTGGAGGAGAACGTCGAGATGTTGGAGGCGCAAGCTGTCGCGACTGAGGAGCATCGGTCAACTGAGCTGCAGGCTATGGTCAGAACTGTCTTCGATTCCGTCAGCAAGCGAAGGCCGATCTCGCGAGCGTTGCGAATTGCCGAGTCGCGGTTTGCTGCACAGGAGCAGCTATTCGCTGTTCAGCTCCATCAGGTCGAGGAAGCTGCGTCGCTCTCACGTTTAGAAGTCCAACGCTTTACCCGCGAGCAGAACAGTGCGCTGTACACCCAGTCCCAACAAGCAACCCTGGCTCTTGCGACCGTATACGCTGGTCTTCGCAAGACGAACGCCTCTCTTGACCTCGTCTGTGGCGCGCGTACCTCGTTGCATGCACAACTCGATGCCGTTCGCCAAGACCTCGAGCAGAAGCTCAACGAGCTGTCTGATCTACACGCGCACCGTGAAGATGCTGCCGCAGAGGCCTCTGAGACTGAGAAGCGGCACGCAGAACGGATCCACGAGCTCGAGGAACGGTGCAAAACCTTACGCAACGGAAATACGGACCTCAAGACCCAGCACGAACAGACTCTTGCTGAGCTCACTGCCACACAAGACCAAGTCCGTCTACAGATGTCCGAGAGCACAGGTCGCGTGCAGGAGGAAGGCGCGCTCCGCGTACAGCTTGAGGCTATGCAGCGGAGATATCAAGACGAGACGGATGCGCTCCGGGCTGAGCTCTCCAAGACTATCGAAGAGCTCGAGACCGCCCAGCTGAAACAGTCCGAGCTGGAGTCGGCGCACCGTCAAACACTTGATGATGTCTCCGCTGAAAAGGAAGAACTTCAGGAACGCCTCACCGAGACCCTCGAGAAACTTGTGGCGAGCGAGAAGGCTGTTGTGGAGCTTGGCGACACGGAGGCAAGGCACATCGCGGAGATCGACACTCTGACAGAGCGTCTTGATACCACAGAGAAGGACGTTGACGAATTGACCAAGGCGAGGGACGAGCTCCTCGCAGAGCACGGGACTACAAGCAAGGAGTTCGACGAAAAGCGTACCGAGGTGGAGGTGCTCCAGCGAGCGAAGGAGGACTTGGAGATGCAGCTCGAGAATGTGCAGACGGTGCATCAAGCGGAGATGAAGATACTACAGGAGCGTGTGGAGCTTGCGGCTCGCGAAAGGGCAGAGCTCCAGAGCTCGCTTGCGGATGTTGAAGTTCGCTTCGACGAGCTGAACAAGGTACGCGACGAGCTAGAGGAGCAGCTCGCCGCGGCAGACACGGATGTCGAGCGGCTGCGCGTTGAGCTCAAGGCCGAGAGCGAACAGCGGCTGCGCGAGGCCGAGCAGCATGCGGAAGAGCTTCGGACGGTTAGGGAGCACGGTGACCGGGCGTCGCTTGGACATGGCGAGCTGCAGCAAGAGCTAGCGTCGTTTGGAGAGCAACTTCAACAGGCGGATGCTGCGATTCAGGCCGCCGGCAAGGAGAAGCTGGAGTTGCAGACGCAGATGACGGAACTCGAAGCTGAGATACAGCGTGGACTCTCGTTCCAACGGCATCTAGAGAGTCAGATTCAGGATGGGTATGTCTTTCATGCTCTCCCCGAGTCAACGGTACTGACCGTGCATTTAGGCACAAGCAGACTGCGACGCTCAAAGAGCAAGTCGATAAAACCCGTGCTGATTACATCCGCGCTGAGAAGGAGGCCAAGACGGCGGAGATCAACCTCTCACTGCAGGCAGTGCAGCACGAAAAAATTGTCTCCGGTTTGCGCAACGAGATCGAGACCCTCCAGGAGACGTCAAAGCTTGCGGAAGCTGTCGAGGAGCTTCGCGAGCAGAACCAGGAAATGGAGAATCTACTCAAGGCCAAATGCCTAGAGATTGAAGAAAACGACGATCGGTTCATTGGGTGTGTACTTTCTGCTACTCTTTGTGTTCTGTATGTATGCTGATCGTGTTCCAGACTGATCAAGGAAAAGAAGAAGCTGACATCCAAAGTTGAATCTCTTACTCGCAAGATCAAGTCGCTGCAGGAGAAGCTCTCATCCGTGAGCCAGGACACGACGCCAAAGGCTAACCCTCTTCCGGCTACGTCCACTTCAGCTGCTCCTGTTGCTTCGACCTCGACACTCCCACCGCTATTGTCACCACCGACACGAGCTCTGCCTCCTCTGCCACCAATGGTGGAGATGCCGGAAATGTCAGCACATCCCTTCGCGCCCCAGTTCCAACTGGGATCCTCGACAAGCTCTCATGTACGCTCTTCCACCTCACCCGCGCCCACTGCCCGACCTAAGACGCCGGAAGCTTCAATTCCCCCAGCGGTCTTCAAAGCGCGCACCCCCGACTCCTCACGACGTCGACTCTCAAAGAAGCCCGTGCATGAGCCCTTCCTGCCATCCCAATCGTCATCTTTCCGGCCATTGCAAGATGCGTTCCAGCCGCAACAAGATCACCTACGCGCGTCGGCATCGACATCAAGCACCGTGGGTGTGAAGCGTCGTGCACCGAATGACTTCGAGGACTGCGACGGCGTACCTGCACAAGTTTTCACCGTGGACAGCGTCCCGAGCAGCTCAGATCCTATGGGCCAGACGCCAAGAGTAAGGAGAGCCCTCCAGAATGTGCGCGGGGGCTTCACGCCTATGCGGCATACGCGAGCGTCGACACAGCCCCAACCGTCTTCACATCTCTCGCCGTCACTGACACCGTCTTCGGAGATGCCGGTTGCAACACCCGCCCAGCCGGGATCGCCGCCGCGGCAGAAATCGAGCGCGGCAATTGCGGACGTTACGAATAGTCCGCGGTCAAAAGCAGCGCAGAAGGGGAAGCGGAAGTGGCTGGATGCGCTTCGGGGCGGCTCGACCCAGGCAACGCGGGGTGGGGCAACAGTGAGACCAGGGTTCGACAGGGCGCAGAACGCTGCGCGGTGAGTTGGTCTTGGGAGCGTGCGATACAGTGTACATACCCATTCGTTTGACGGACTTCTGGTCAGTGTAGTGATAATCTCACGCATATGTACTGCTAGTCAATAGTCTCTACATCTTGTTGTTCATGATATCTCAATCTTTTTTTAAGCATAAATCGGTGATGATGACGAGAGAACGACGTCGCGCAGCGTTAACTATGGCGCCTAAACTATTGCCCTGGCGCGCCCGGCCAGGATACCAGCGGTGCCAATACCTACCGCTTGTCTTGACCTTCATCCAAGTTTACCCATCCTGAACCGATCTGGCCACTAGAGTTCGGGTATATCAATGCTAATGAAGTCTGACCAGAAGCCCTACATTGACCTCTCTGCTGAGCTCAACGACGAGCTTGACTGGAAAGCTGGGACGCTCAGGGCATTTGAGCACCATTTGGATATCTCGGCATGGGCGTATGAGGCGGTCTCGGGTGTAATTGCTATAGGTGCGTTGTACTGTCCATAGTATATTCCTCCGATGCTAAAATGCATCCAGGGACTAGCTACGGCATCATCAACCTCTATGGAGGCCCTGGCGTGGAACATCGCGTAGAATCATCTGACCGTGTCGCAGTTCGAAGCTTGCACTTCGCTAGTTCAATATTCAGGCTTTTGTGTGTCGGTCAGTACTTTCAAGGACACATACCTTCAGACTGCAGAACTTGGCTGTCACAGATAGCAAAGACCGTCTGAATGTCTGGGACCTTAACACCCCTGGAAAGCCAAAGATGCAGAGCGTCATCAACTTCAACCATCCCATAAAGTGATGAGGACATTTGAACTATCGCCTACATCACTGGCTGACAGGCTTGGTAGTTATGTGGTGCTCTCATCATCTCACTCACATGTAAGTATTAATATTGGCCGACCTTGGCCGAGGGATACGCCTAAATCATGGCACACAGGCCTTCATCGCTCTCGCAAATGGTGAAATACAGACATACGATCTGATGTGCTCGAGAAAGTCGCAATTCACTATGCCAAACCTATGGGCGCTGTATGAACGAAGAGTACTAGCAGGGGGTATGTCGAGTCGCGCCGGCTCTCAATCGTACGTGCGACTTTCTCTCTCCAAGGTTCATACCAATGATAGTCGTGAAGGCAGCTTCCGATAGAGTTGGTCGTACATCCGCGAGACCTGAATCTCCTTTTCGTGGCCTATGGAGGTACGTCATACTGGCCTCTCCATGACGCTGTATCTCACCAGAGTTGAGCTAAGGCGGCGTCGTGATGTCGGATTTGGTGAGTCTGATGGATAACTGACTTTCGCCTGCTGACATGGGGATGGCAGACGCAACGTAACACAGTGCGGGCCTTCGAATATATTATTCCACCTGGAGCACCTGGGGGTACAGGCTACCATGGGCATCAGGATCTTTTGACGCACCGGCGACCTGATGTAACTGCACTCGCGGTGCATCCTTGTGGCCACCTGTTTGCAGTCGGTTACACAGACGGATCAATAGCGTTCTGGGCTGTTGAGGACGAAGACAAGCCGCTCATGGTCCTGACCCTCGACGGCGAGCACGACATCAACATCGCTGATTCATGTAAATTTGACGAGGCTATGTCCAAGGGTCGTGTGAAGTCGAGCATTCGAGAGCCAATCTTCAAGCTTGCGTGGAGCGGATTCGCGAATTCGGACGACCCTCGCGGTGGAGATACTGTTTTGACGGTTCTAGGAGGCTTGAAGGAGGAAGATGTCCCTGGTGTAACCGCCTTGCTGCTTCCCGCATTCAATCCTCCAGAGCCCTCTTCATCTACCGCTCCCGACTCCCAGACGCTCCATCCTGAATTCCGCGCCGCCATGCGACAGTCGGTGACACCAAAGAACTTGCACACCTATTCGACTGTTGGCACACCCCAAGACTTCTTACTGCTCCCTAGAGAGAGTCCGCATTTTGCTGGGACTTACGATCCATATGCTATACTCCTACTTTCAGATGGCGAAAAGGAAGCTCGGGCCATCGAGACGTACCAGTACCCACCACCGATTTTCGCCATTCACGAGCACACGGAGCCTACGCCTAGTGTCCCGAGAGACGAACCGGAGCAGCTCGAGGACGTGCTGTCGGACGAGATCGCGCTTACACTGGAGTCGATGCAGTTGAACGACGAACCCAAGTCCCTGGAGGCCCCTCCGTCATTTTGGAGCGGACCTCTTGGCGTGATTTCTGGAGACCTGATTTCTCTGGAGCGAGACGCGTACGAGGCATTAGTTCATGAGGCGGCGCCCGAGGAGGAGGGCCTACGTCTGCAAGGCGGGTCTGCTTGGGTAGATGACATCGAGGGTCAGATGAAGCTTCTTCGAGTGCGCACCCTTCGGATGAGCCTCTTTGACACCGTCTGACATAGCCTTCAGTTCCAACCACACCGTATGCTGGCTACCTTCCACTCCGACCTAACTGTTCGCTTCCGCGATCTCAGCGCCCAGCTTCTCCAGAGCTCAGATACCAACCCACTGCGAGCACGGTACCCCAACCCTCTCCCGTCATTGACACTCGATGTTCTTGCTCTGCTGGCGGATCCTTCGGTTGCGTCTCAGACCTCACCAAAACTCGTCGAGGAAGCCCATATTGTCTCGTTACAACTTGCCCCACAGTCACTAGAGTGTGCAGTCGCCCTAAAAAGCGGAGAAGTTACTATCTTTCGTATGGCCGGTGTACCGGCAGGCGAAGCTGCTATCCCGCGGACGCTAGACGACACAGAGCTAATCTCCGCGACACACGTGTGTACCGGGGAGCATCGACGCTTCCAGCCGCACTTCTTGCTGTCTACACGCCGAGGTCCCGTCTCTGCGGTCGCGTTATCTGACATCGGTGGGTACTGCCCCACTATTTCGTTGTTCCGCTTTCAATGTCCTTTTTAGGATTCCTTGCAACTGCGTATGAGGAAGGCGCCATCTTCATCGTCGATATGCGAGGGCCAAGAATCCTCCTCCGAGAGACATCAGACCGAGCTGGTCGTCGGAGATCCTTCTTGCGGAGTCATGCAGACCCTGTCGTGAGTTTGGTTTGGACCGTCGCCGGTACAGATGGAGGTTCGTTGCTCTTATCGTATAAGCATATGCGTAAACTGACGCAAGTGCACGTGCGTGTGTAGACATCTTTCCACGCGTTCGCCTCCTCGCAACACGCGAGAGTGGTACAACGGCGATCTATACCCTCTCGCGCACACCCTCAGGCATCTGGTCCGTCGGCGCGGACCATGCGACGACCGAGGGTATCTCACACGCCATCCCTGGGGCGTCCTTTGTTCTTGACATTAAGACCGGTGCAGCACGAACGGCCGACAAGATTGGCCTCGTATCGGTCATGCATGCCGATGCCGGTGACGCACAGAAGGGGACCGCAATTTGGGTCGTTGCGGGCGCCAAGAGCGTGAAGAGCGTGTTAGATATCACTGGTGAGCGGCTTGGACGCGCGGAGTGGCCCAGCAAAGCGGGAAAAGTCGAGAGTGTGGTTGTCGTGCGGAAAAATAGTGAGCGCATGCTCTTCAGACGGTGTATATTATGCTGATAGTACATGCCAGCAGCGTCGACGCTCCTGGTGGCATACACCGACAAGCGCGAAGCGCTGGTCTACTCTCTGCCCTACCTCGAACACATGCACAGTCTGCAGATCCCCCAGTCATCCACCGAGTATGTATATCTGTTCGCGCTGCCTGTCCGTTGTCCTGACCATGCATGCAGGCCACTCAGCGTCGATGGCACAGGCGACTACATCGAGTGGAAACGCCATCCGTGCGGGCTCATCTACAAGGAGCGCTACGGCACGCTCTTCAACGTGCGTCGCTCAGGGCCGTACGAGGCCCCGCAGGTCGACTTCGCCGCCAGACGTAAGACCGTGCCGCCGCAGCCGCAACCTGTCTCTGTCGGCCCAACATCGTTCATCGGGTCGTGGATCGGGTACATCACAAGCGCTACTCTGACCGGGGACCAAATTGATACGTTGTGTGAGTATTCTTGTTAAAGCGAGTGTGCGACGGGCCTAGAGATACTGATGGCCTGCACGTAGTGGGTGGTCCTGATAGGCCTATACCGCAGCCAAAACCTCAGAGGCCGAAGCCAAGTGCAACAGGTAGCGGGCGAAGCAGCGGTAGCGGCAGTCGACCAGATCCGCAGAGGGCGAACTCCGTCTCGGAGATGGCCAACTCTGCGTCTCGAGGTGTCAACGATCTGTACTCGCGGCTAAATAATGCTCTGGCCGAGAGGGGGTGAGAATTTTTCCTCTATGCGCCCGAATAAGTGTTCATAAACGACTTAGAGAAATGTTAGGAGGGCTCGAGGAGTCGTTCCAGTCGCTAGAGTCTGGCAGTAAGAACATGCTTGCCCAGGTACATATCACCTACAACCGTCTCTTACTGCCACTCACTATATGCGTCACAGGCTAAGAGTCTGGCCGCGAAACAGAGTGCCAAGCGATGGTTCGACTTCTCGTAAAGATCACAAGACGTAATGAATCTCATCTGTATTGTACACTTTCTGCATACCAGCTTGATGCTTACTTTTCGGCGGGAGGCTTCTCGCTAAGGAATACACTAGTGATGTTGACGGTGGATTTCTTGCGATACTCATTGAGCATGCCGAAGAAACCGTCCTCCTTTGTGGTCTCGTGCTTGTGGTCCCATTCTTCGGTGTGGCGCACAATCTGATGGGCCGAGTTCGTTTCGATGGTGAGCAAGGAGTTGACGGTCTGTTACATACAGATGTTAGCTTCCATGATATATGTTGGAGACGAAACGACAGATACTTTAGTAGGTTCGGAGGCCTTAGGGTCGCGGAAGTAGGCGACGTCCTGGTCGATGAGGATGGTGCTCTTGGGCACCGACGATGGATTTTCCAAAATGCGGAACTTGGGAATATCCGCACGAGGGAACAGCTGCATTCCACGAATCAGTACAGTTACAGATTGCAGAGTCCAGTTCCTACCTTGACGAGCCCGTTGAATTGCTTACGAATCGACTCGATACCTTCTGCAATGCCTATGGGGTCGTGGAAGACGGCTTCCTTGGCATACATCTGGTAAGAACTCTGTCAAGACAATAAGTCATTCTCTCGTAAACTTTGGGTTGCTGCTATTCACTTCTTTAGGTTGGCATGTGTACAACTGCGGACCAACGAATGAGCCAAAAATGACGACGCTGCCACGAAAGCCAGTGGCATACATCCTTAATGCTTTGAATAATGGGCTTCTCCCACTCTTCCATCTGACGTTCCTTGAGAGATTTGGTCTCCTGAGGGGTCAGACCAGACGCGTTCTTCGCACTGAGATCGCTGCTAGGCATGATGCTAACGTGTCTTCGCGGTGTAGCCCGGGCTGCAATAGATGCTCGGAGTACTGGGATGTGGGCGAAGGAATGGGCGAGCATTGCTAATCGCGTCCACCGTAGGCTTTATATACTCCTGGGTGAGCAGCATGACGTCTGACGAGTTGTGGGATGGAGAGACAATGAGCGCATCGTCCTCTTCGAAGCCTCCGCACATTGGTTGCTCGGCATCAAATCGAGCGTCGGGATACTTCTAAAATAAGAATATATCGGAATTTGTGATTGGCGCCAGCGCTAAGGGCGTGATCTACATCTCTCTTAACTAGGTGACCGTCTGAACTCTGTGAGTAAGTTCGACTCTAAATTTCATCAGAAGTGCTAAGCACTGGGCTTGTATAGCTTCCTCGCAACACAAGGACACGCTGTTCTATTCTCGTCCGCGCTACGACGTTGAGTGTCGATATCGATGCCCGCAGTGTTGTCATTGACCTCGGACCCCGAAAAACGGCGGCGAACGCACTCCCCTCTCCCAAGTCGTACATATCTGTTTTTGCGGTCAGGCTTCTGGCTTTTGACCTTTCCACAATGCCTGAAATTCTCAGAGAGAAGGGCGGAGACTTGGAGGAGTTCCCATGCCATTGACCCCGGTGCTATCAGTCCATTTGACAACACTGGATGCCCGTACTAACGACGCCTCCGGGTGTGCCGCGAGTATCCTCATCAGCACCAGGTGTTCTCGGGCATGGTCCAGAAACACAAGGACCAAGAAGCACTGCTTAGACACTTTCCGGTGCTCTTCTAATTCTTCTCTCGCGTGTATCACATACAGGCCTTCCATCCATGTGCTTCCCAGGTGATCTACATCAGCTCATGCATACGTATCTGCTTGCGCTCACCACGCCATTGTAGAAAAAGACAGCCCAAAGAATGTCCCGGTTTCTGATTCTGTTTCACGTATCCTCGCGATTCCAAGATAAGCCAGTATCGCTGACAGATCCTCGTTGACGTGGCCGTCGCCAGCAAACAGCGCACTCGTCCTAGGCATGCGGTTCCTGTTTCTCGTTGCATAGAGCTATGTTGCGACTACTGCGCCACCGACACCCTTATCCTGGACCTAGAGTGCGTACATGCTGCCCACCTACTCCCGAAGATTCCTTCGGTCGACTACGACGCATGCTCAAGGAACACCTTTTACGACAGCTCCACAGCTTTTTATGCAGACTCGTGATCTCCAAATGACACGCTGCACATGTCACGCCAACCAGTTCCTATCTTCCTAGCGGGGTCCACATTGGAGAAGGCTTTGGGCGCGCGATGGCATCCTTTACCAGGCTCTCACAGGTTCTCCGACCATGGCGTGGCTGTGAAATACGCATGGGCTACGCGCGCACTATGCCTGAATACGGTATGACTATTTTCCGTTGTACTTTGAATCGCTGCCTGAAGCATGCTGTGGTGGCTTCTCGTCCATACGTTTTGTTCTGGGTGTAGCTCCCGACTTCTTTGCCTGCACAATGTGCGGAAGCTCGCAATTCCCGAATAATATCACAGACTTGGTCTAGCGTCATCTGCTCGATCCATGTTCGCCATCCACACTAGGACTTTTCGAGGTATAAAGAGACCCATTACCATCGCCTTCCCCAGTTGCCCAGCTCCTCAACACCTGGTCGCCTTTCCTTGAGTCATCATGTTCCTCAGCCAGTCCTTCGTTGCCCTCGTCGCTCTCGCTCTCGCCGTCTCGGCGACGCCTGCCGTCCGCGACACGCCGACGATCACTCTGCCAATCGCGAAACACTTCAACACGACTGGCACGCTCAACCTGCTCGCGCGGGACCAGGCTCGTGCGAAGTGGCTCAAGTCTCGTGCCAGCGGCGAGTCCCTTGCTGAGCGTGCGGGAAGCCTGCCTGTCACCAACGCCGAGGTCAGCTATCTTGCGGCGGTTGGCGTCGGTAGCCCCGCTACTACCTGTAAGTCCTTCTCTGAGAAGCCGCGACAGCATACTTACGATACTGAGACAGACAATTTGATCGTCGACACTGGTAGCTCGAACACCTGGGTCGGTGCTGGCACGGAGTATGTTTCTACCTCCACTAGTAAAAAGACCGGCGGGTCTGTGGTACGTCCAGCCTTCTTGACAATTATCACTGACTTGTTCTGACTGTATGATATAATCAGTCTGTCTCCTACGGCTCTGGATCTTTCTCTGGTACAGAGTTCACCGACCAGGTCACTCTCGGTAGCCTCGTCATTAAGAGCCAGTCCATTGGTGTCGCATCGAAGTCGTCTGGCTTCGAAGGCGTCGACGGTATCTTGGGGTACGCCGTTCATCGGCCGTCCACTCCCGTCACTAACTAAGTGGCATTAGTATCGGCCCTGTCGACCTCACTGAACAGACTGTCAGCAATGCCAACACTGTTCCCACCGGTAAATCCATCTGGCTGATCAGTGCACAACAACTGAGCTGATATCTCTCCACAGTCACCGACAACCTGCTTTCCCAGGGTTTCATCTCCACTGAGGTTGTTGCCGTCTCATTCGAGCCCACTACCCAAGAGAGTGTGACGAACGGTGAGCTCACTTTTGGTGGCACCGATTCAAGCAAGTTCACCGGCTCCATCAACTACGTGTAAATTGCCCGCCCTGCTTGAACCTCTGCAGTGTGCTGAATGCTGCCCGCAGCTCTTTGACAAACACTTCACCCGCTTCCGAGTACTGGGGCATCAACGAGTCCATCACCTACGGCAGCACTAGCATCCTGTCCAGCACCGCGGGTATTGTCGACACTGGCACTACTCTTACTCTCATCGCTTCTAGTGAGTCGGAACTGTCATCTCTACAAGAACACTGATGCGACAGTGATATAGATGCGCTCCAGAAGTACCAGAAAGCCACTGGCGCCACCTTGGACAGCACCACCGGCTTGCTCCGCGTCTCAAGCTCACAGTTCAACAGCCTTCAGAACCTGAACTTCGACATCGGCGGTGTTACTTATACCCTCACTCCGAACGCCCAGATTTGGCCTGTACGTCTATCACAGCTACTCTTCTGTGAGACATATGGGCTGACGGCTTGACCTATGCAGCGCTCCCTCAACTCGGCCATCGGCGGTAGCTCGGGCGACATCTACCTCATTGTTGGCGACCTCGGCAGCGACTCTGGCGAGGGCCTCGACTTCATCAACGGCCAGACTTTCTTAGAGAGGTTCTATGCTGTCTTTGGTAAGCCGTCCTAACGGGCCTTCCTGTAACACGTCAGCCCATAAAATTCTATCCAGATACCACCAACAAGCGGCTTGGCTTGGCAACTACCCAGTTCACCACCGCGACCACCAACTGAGGATCAGACACAAAAAGTTTAGGAATTGTATTTTTGGGATTGTACTACTCAACCAATGGGACTCTGGATGCCGCTTGTATGTGTGGATCAAATATAACAATTAGGATTTCAACTGCCTTTGTTCGCCAATCGGCGTTTCTGTGAGCTTGCTCTCGACCATCATGAACAGTTCAAACGTCCAAGCTCAAGCAGGGATGAAGCACGTACTAGATAGCAGGAGGGATGGGCCGGCAACCGTGACGTGCCGGCTTTCACACGCGCAAGCGTAGGTCCGGTGTCCTGGCCCTGGCGTAGATCGGTGTCGGCGCCGGCGCCGGCCCCCTCGGTCACCCGAGGCCATACGCGCTGCCTCATCCATAGTATTATCCATACAGACAACTTCCTTGTCGACGCTGGTCGTTCGAACACGCGGGCCGGTGCCAACAAGAGCTACGTCCCGGCTGTGGTGGGCAGGATTGCTGCTAACAGCATAGTGAGTGTCCCACACAGTCTTCCGAGTCTGCACTGTTGCGCTCAAATTGAGAGTGTGCTCTGCAGTCTGGGTATACCCTGCAATCTGACACGTTATGCTAATGTTCCGCTCAGAGTCTTTCTGAGAAGAGGAGGGCCTCGAACAGATGGCACCTGGAAGCCTTGTCAGATCGGAACTCAGTCTATTGGTAGGCGGACCACGCGACTGGTTGGAACCAAGATTTCCGCTATCCTGCGCTCTTCCCTCGCGCATAGCACCGACGGGCTTTACAATATACATCCTAGGTATGCATGAGCTGACGCATACGTATTTACTAGTGCTAACTACGCCACTATGAAGGACGGCAGGTATATCAGCTGCCGGTGTTGTTGTGCATATACTCGTGTTTCTAAGATTGGGCAGTGTCTTTGACAGATTTCGATGGCCTGGCCACCGCCACCATACAGCGCACTCGTCCTAGGCATCTGGCTCATACTTCTCGCTGCATGCCTCTATGGCGCACCCGGTACCCTTACCCTCGATTCGGATCCCGCATGCCACCTTCCTGTCCATATAAGCATTTCGACGATATTGGTACATGGAACCCCATGACATGGCTGCCGCCCACGACAAGATCGTAATCGCTTAACGGAATGCTGCAGGTGTCACGCTCACCCAGCCCCACCAGTTGCTGTCTCCTTAAATCGACGGAGCCCACATCAGAGAAGGCTTTTAACGCACGAAGACATCCTCGACCAGGGTCTGAGATGTTCCTCAGCCGCGCGAACGTGCATTGCTACCGCGTGCATCATCCCGGCTGAGGGCGGTGTGGCTACTCTCCGTTGTATTATGAATCATCGTCTGAAGCGTGCTGCTGCAGCTTCTCGTCCACACGTTCTGCTCGAATCGTAGCTGACAGCTCGCTTGCCTACGTGATGGGCGGAAGAATAGCACACTGGTGTAGTGTCACTCGCCAAGCTCGTCTTCGTCATCCAGGGCAAGGCCTCCAAAGTATAAAGAGAATTGCACTGCCGTCGCTCTCCTCAGCCCCTCAGCCCTCAGCTCCCAATCGTCTTCCGTCGAGTCACTGTGTTCCTCGACCAGTCCTTCGTTGCCCTCGTCGCTCTCGCTCTCGCCGTCTCGGCAACGCCTGTCATCCGTGACACGCCGGCGATCACTCTGCCTATCGCAAAGCACTTCAACACGACCGGCACGCTCCACTTGCTCGCACAGGACCGGGCTCGTGCGAAGTGGCTCAAGTCTCGTGCTAAGGGTGAGTACATTTCGGGGCGTGCAAGAAGCCTGCCGGTCACCAACACCGCGGTCAGTTATCTTGCCGCGGTTGGGGTCGGTAGCCCCGCCACGACGTGTAAGTAGTTCCCCAAAAAGCCGAGATAATACGCCCACAATAATGTAACAGACAATCTAATCGTCGACACTGGTAGCTCGAATACCTGGGTTGGCGCCGGCACCGCGTATGCTACTACCTCCACTGGCGAAGACACTGGCAATTCTGTGGTATGTTCAGCCTTCTCATAGCTGCTACGGATCAGGTGTGACAGTATGGCACCTTTAGTCTGTCTCCTATGGTTCTGGATCTTTCTATGGCGAGGAGTACACCGATCAGGTTACTCTCGGTAGCTTCGTCATTCAGGACCAATCCATCGGTGTGGCCACGGAAGCCAGCGGCTTCCAGAGCGGCGTGGACGGTATCTTGGGGTAAGTAGCTCACCTGACGTTCACCCATGCCTCTAACATGCGACGTTAGTATCGGCCCCGTCGACCTCACTGAGGGTACTGTCAACAACACTGACACTGTTCCTACTGGTAAATTCGCATGGCTGATCGACGGATATCGGCGGAACTGACATCTCTCCACAGTTACCGACAACCTGCTTTCCCAAGGTCTTATATCGACCGAAGTTGTTGCCGTCTCCTTCGAGCCGACTAACCAGCAGAGCGTGACGAACGGCGTGCTGACTTTCGGTGGCACTGACTCGAGCAAGTTCACCGGCGCCATCGACTATGTGTAAGCTGACTACCCCCCTTGAGCATCTACGATATACTAAATCCTTCTGGCAGCCCTTTGACGAACACTTATCCCGCTTCTCTGTACTGGGGCATCGATCAGTCCATCGTCTACGGCAGCACAAACCTGAACATCCTGTCTAACACTGCTGGTATCGTCGACACAGGCACTACCCTCATTCTCATTGCCACTGGTGTGTCGAAATTCACCCTCATTCTGCAGGGACGCTGACATGATGGTGGTATAGATGCTTTCCAGACGTATCAGCAAGCTACGAATGCTACTTTGGATGACACTATCGGCTTGTTCAGCATCTCAAGCTCGCAGTACGACAATCTCCAGGATCTGTACTTCAATATCGGCAGTAACACTAATACTCTCACTCCGAACGCCTAGATCTGGCCTGTACGTCTGCCATAGCTGCTCGCTATGAACCACTTGAGTTGACAGTGGGATCTATGCAGCGTTCTCTCAACACACTTATCGGCGGCAGCGCGGACAACATTTACCTCGTCGTCGCTGATAGCGGCGACCCCTCCGGTCAAGGCCTCGATTTTATCGATGGCCAGGCGTTCCTGGGGAGGTTTTACTCTGTATTTGGTGAGTTCGTCAGTAGGCCTCTTTGTAACATGCCAGTTCACACAGCTGGATCCAGATACCGCCAACAGCTGTGTTGGCCTGGCCACCACCTTGTTCACCTATGCGACCTCCAACTGAAGATTAGACACTAAAGTTTAGGAATTGTATCTTGGACTTGTATTATATACATCAACGGACTCTGGATGTCGGCTGTATGTACCGGACATGGCATTCAATAGAGTATCGCCTCTACTCGCCAGCCAGCGCTTCTGCGAACCGTGCCTTATGCCTTGCTTCCCACCATCACCATGAATCGAGGAGCCCTCTAGCAGAGGCGAAGCAACTTAGGAGGGCCAACGATGTGACGATTGTCAAAACGTGCTTCGCTTCAGTGAGTTATGTTGATGTAACGGGTGTGGACTTGGTAGGCCGGTTCTGGCGGTGGTCGGCGTCGACGGTCCTGCGACCGCTTGTAAGTCGCGCCACTTGAGGTTGTACGCGTCGTGTTACTGATACCAACCGTGTCGACAGGATTCTCGTTGACACCGGTTATTTGAGCGTGCGGATTGGTGCGAATAAGCGTTGCGTTCCGGTCGCGACGAACTCGGACGAGAGTGCTGGCCACAGCGTCGTGAGTCTCACAACCTTCTGCTCTGTTGCGCTCAATCTGAGTGTACTCTGCAGTCTAGCATGTGCTGCTCAGAGTCTTTCTCAGAACAGGAGAATCTCAACCAGATGACTCTTGTGAGCCTTGCCACCGAAAACCAGCCCATTGGTGCAGCAGGCTACATGGGCAGCCGGAACCAGAACGTCCGCATCCTTCTGAGTCTTCTCTCGCGTGTATCACAGACTAGCCTTGCAACTATGTACCTCCTGGGTGATTTACGTCTGTTCATGCATACGCGTCGACTTATGCTGACTACGCCTTTATAGAGAATAACAGCGTGAATGATACATCGGTTACCGGTGTTGTTGTGTAAATTTGAGATTTGGCAATGTCGTGTACTGTTACCTTCGCCACCACCATGCAGCGCACTCGTCTTAGGCATGCTTCTCGTCGCGTACCGCTATGATGCGACCGCACAGATTTGTTCTGCGACAAGCCCTTATCCTCGACCTGAATTTCGCAAGTCGCCTACATACCCTTTCGAAACTTCCGGAGATAACGGTACATGCTCAAGGAAGTCCTCTTGTGACGGCGCCGCCGGCTATTACAGGTTCGTGATCGCTTAATGGAATACGGCATGTGTTACGCCCACTAATTGCTCTCAACTTAAATCTCCAGAGTCCTCTCGGAGAAGCCCTCTGGCACGGTGGTATCCCCTACCTGACTCTCCCAAGTTCCTCGACTGCAATATGGACATCATGCCGGCCGAATGCGGTATGACTACTGTCCACTATATCATGAACCATTGTCTGAAGCATGCTGCAGCGGCTTCTCGTCCACGCTTCGCTTGAAGAGTAACTAGCAGCTCGCTTACCTATGCGATGGATAGAAGTTTGCAATCTCCGAAGAATATCGTACTGGACCTAGTATCATTTATCGAACGCGTTTTCACCATCCGTGGCAAAACCTTCAAGGTATAAGAAGAATCGCACCATCGTCGCTCTCCCTAGCTCCTCAGCTCTCAGCTCCCGTCGCCTTTTCTGGAGCCACCATGTTCCTTAGCCAGTCCTTTGTCGTCCTTGTCGTTCTTGCACTTGCCATTTCGGCGACGGCTGTCGTCCGCCACACGCCGACGATCACTCTGCCCATCACGAAGCATTTCAACACGACTGGCACGCTCAACCTGCTCGTACAGGACCAGGCTCGTGCGAAGTGGCTCAAGTCTCGCGCCAAGGGCGAGCACCTTGCTCAGCGTGAGGAAAGCCTACCCATTACCAACGTCGCTGTCAGCTACACTGCTGCAATTAGCGTCGGGAATCCTGCCACGACCTGTAAGCGGTTCTATACAAGTTGCGACGATATACTCACAACAATGTGACAGACACTCTCATTGTTGACACTGGCAGTTCAAACACCTGGGTCGGTGCTGGCACCAAGTACGTCGCTACCTCTACCAGCATGAACACCGGCGAGTCTGTGGTATGTTTCAGCCTTATAGTTGCTACCGACTTGTTCTGACTCAAGTTGTATGATACCTATAGTCTGTCACCTACGGCTCTGGATCTTTCTCTGGCACAGAATACACCGATCAGATCACTCTTGGCAGCCTCGCTATCAAAGACCAATCCATCGGTGTGGCATCGCAGTCACAGGGCTTCCAGGGTGTTGACGGTATTCTGGGGTAAATCGCTCGTTCGCTGTTTTATCCTATCACTGACTAAGTGGCATTAGCATCGGTCCTGTCTCCCTCACTTGGGGTACTGTCAACAACACGGACACTGTTCCTACTGGTAAATTCGCGAAGCTGATCAATGAATATCAGCAGAGCTGACATATTTCTAGTCGCTGATAATCTGTTCTCCCAGGGTACCATCTCCACCGAGGTTGTTGCTGTCTCTTTCGAGCCGACTACTAAGGAGAGCGTGACAAACGGTGAGCTGACTTTCGGTGACACCGATTCGAGCAAGTATACAGGCTCTATCAGCTACACGTAAGTTATGTCCTGCCTGAATTCCTCCAGTGTATTTGAACGCGCTTTCCTCCCTCCTCCCTCCCCCCCTCCCCCTCCGGCAGCCCTTTGACGCAAACTGAGCCCGCTTGTTATTACTGGGGCATCGATCAATCCATCACCTACGGCAGCACCAGCATACTGTCCACTACCGCCGGTATCGTCGACACTGGCACTACCCTCACTCTCATCGCTTCTGGTAAGCTAGAAACCACCCTCATTCTACAGGGATACTGACACGATAATGGCACAGATGCGCTTCAAAATTACCAGAAAGCCACAGGCGCGAACTTGGACAACGCCACCGGTTTCCTCCGCATCTCAAGCTGGCAGTACGACAACCTCCAGAACCTGGACTTCAATATCGGCGGTAACACCTATGCCCTCACTCCGAATGCCCAGATCTGGCCTGTACGTCTGCTATAGCTGCCCATATGCGAAGTACATGAGCTCATAGTGGAACCGTCGTGCAGCGTTCCCTCAACTCATATATAGGCGGCGACTCGTACCACGTATACCTCATCGTTGGCGACATTGGCAGTGACTTCGGCGAGGGCTTCGACTTCATCAACGGCCAGACTTGGCTGGAGAGGTTCTACTCCGTCTACGGTAAATTACCTCAACAGGCTTCTTTGTCACATGCCAGCTTACGTAGTTGGATACAGATACTACCAACAATCGCATCGGCCTAGCCACCACCTCGCACACTGATGCGACCACCAATTGAAGACAGGAGAGACAGGGGTAGAAATATATTGTATTTCGAATTTTTACTTCAACGGGATTCTAGATGTTGTCTATGTACGTCAATACAATACTGTAACCTATGTTCCTTCATACAGACTCGTTGCCAGTCAGCTTTGCAGGGCAGGGACGTGAATGGAGGGTGTGTGTGCGATTGATACATCGGGATGTCCGTCTATGAGCCAGGAATTGAGCCTAACCTTCATGTAACGCCTACTAGTAGCGCTTCTGTGGACCATAACTTACGGCATCGAATTGCCAGCCATCCTTCGTCAGAGCCTTCACAGCCTGCGCTACACTTTCTTTCGGCACGAAAACATAATCGGCGGTATTCTTGTAGGTAATATGTCGCCAGGTAACCAGCAACGCCGGCTTCGCACACTGCAGGACTCACCATGTCGACACGGCGAAGACGGGCACTCCCACTGCTCTGAGCGGTGCGGTGAGGCTGGCCATAACGCCTGTAATAACTTCCGTATCACATCCCGATCGGCGCTTCTGTGAGCTAGCTCTCGACTGCCATTAGGAGTTCAAGCTCAAGAGTCGTCTAGCGGTATAGCAACGTGCCGGCTACCAATACAACCGTCTCTTACATCTCTTTAGTGGATCCCGCTGGTGTGATGAGGTGTGGGTCTAGTGGGTGCTAGTCCTGCGACTGCTTGTAAGACTAAGTCGCGTCATCTGAGGTTCAATTACGTGTCGTGTTGCTGATGCAATCCGTGTAGGTAACCTTCTCGTTGACCACACAGGTTGGTACTGCAGCTTTCTACTAGCTTTCTCAGAACAGGAGTCTCGGCCAGGCTACTCTTGGGAGCTTTGTCATCGAAGACCAGCCAGTGTGGCGCCACATGCCCCTAAGTGATATGCGTCAGCCCATGCGTACGCGCTGACTTGTGCCATTGAACTATGCCGTTATACTAGAAGCTAACAATGTGCATCAGTTGCCGGTGTTATTGTACGTATACCTGTGATCCCGAGATTTGGTGATGTTGTTGACAGATTTTGCTTGGCTTAGCAGCAGCAGCAGCCGCCGCCATGCAGCGTACCCGTCTTAGGCATGCGACCTATGCTTCTCGTTGCGCGCCGCTATGATGCGACCCCGCAGTTCTATTCTGCGACCGACACCTCGACCTAGATTCCGCATGTCACTACATGCTGCTAATTTATCATATATGAGCCTTCCGGGGATAACGGCGCATCCTTGAGGAAATCCTGTGACAGCGCTACCGACTCGTGATCGCTTAACGGAATGCTGCACATATCACGCCCACCTACTGGTGTTGACAGTACCCACATTGATATTGTGGAGGGGCTTTGGTGCACGATAGCATTCTCTACCAGATTTTCAGAGATTCCTCAGCTACCATGTGGGCTGTGTGATACACACTGGCTACCGCACGGGCCGAATGCGGTATGGTTACATTTCGCTGTTTTATGAACTGTTTTCTGAAGCATGCTGTAGTGGCTTCTCATCCATACGTTCCGCTCGAAGCATAACTAGCAGCTCGCTTGCCTGTGCGGTGGACAGAAGCTCGCAATTCCCGAAGAATATTAGACTGGATGTGGTATCACCCGCTGAGCCCGCCTTTGCCCTCCATGGCAAGGCTTTCGAGGTATAAAGAGACTCGCATTGCCGTCGTTCGCCTCAGCTCCCCAGCTCTCAGATTCTAACCACCTACTTTCGAGTCGCTATGCTTCTCAGCCAACCCTTCGTCACCCTCGTCGCCCTTGCACTCGTCGTCTCGGCGACGCCTGTCGTCCGTGACACGCCAACGATCACACTGCCAATCGCGAAGCACTTCAACACGACCGGTACGCTCAAGCTGCTTGCGCAGGATCAGGCTCGTGCGAAGTGGCTCAAGTCTCGTACCAAGGGCGAGCACCTTGCTGAGCGTGAGGGAAGCCTCCCTGTCACCAACACTGCTACAAGCTATACTGCTGAGGTTGGCGTCGGTGACCCTGCCACGACCTGTATGTCGCTCCTTGAAAAACTATGATAATATGCTTAAAATTTTGCGACAGACAATCTCATCGTCGACACCGGTAGCTCGAACACCTGGGTCGGTGCCGGCTCCAAGTATGTCGCGACTTCCACTAGTAAAAACACCGACAATACGGTGGTACGTCTAGCCTTCTCACAATCGCTACTGAGTTGGTCTGACTGTATGATACCTTAACTAGTCCGTCTCCTACGGCTCTGGATCTTTCTCTGGCGAGGAGTACACCGATCAGGTCACTCTTGGCAGTCTTGTCATTAATGATCAATCCATCGGTGTAGCATCGCAGTCCGAGGGCTTCCAAGGTTCCGATGGTATCTTGGGGTGAGTCGCTCGTCAGCCGCTTTCCCCTGTCACTAACTGAGTGATATTAGCATTGGCCCTGTCGATCTAACTGAGAACACTGTCAGCAACACTGGTGCAGTCCCTACCGGTAAATCCACATGGCCGATCAATGAACACTAGCGGAGCTGACGTCTCCTTACAGTTACCGATAACCTGTTTTCGCAGGGCCTCATCCCCGCTTCGGTTGTTGCTGTCTATTTTGAACCGACTACCCAAGAGAGCGTGACGAATGGTGAGCTGACTTTCGGTGGTACCGATTCGAGCAAGTACACTGGCGATATCAACTACATGTTAGCTGCCTATCTTTCCTAAGCCTTTTTAGTGTACTGAATCCCCCGCAGCCCTTTGACGAGAACTTCGCCCGCTTCCCAGTACTGGGGCATCGACCAGTCCATCACCTACGGCAGCACAAGCATACTGTCCAGCACTGCCGGCATTGTCGACACTGGCACTACCCTCACTCTCATTGCTACTGGTGGGCCTGAATTCCGAGTCGTCCTCGTGCCACTCGGATGCTGAGACAGTAGCGGCATAGATGCATTCAAGAGTTACCAGGCGGCCACGGGGGCTGTCTTGGACAAAAACAGCGGCTTACTCCGAATTACGAGCTCGCAGTACCAAAGCCTCCAGAGTCTGAATTTCAACATTGGCGGTGTCACTTATGAGCTCAGTCCGAATGCTCAGATATGGCCTGTACGTCTGCCATAATTGCTTTCTGCGAAGTAAGCAAGCTGATAGCGCGACCTATGCAGCGTTCCCTCAACACAGCTATCGGTGGTAGCTCGGGCGACATCTACCTCATTGTTAGCGATCTCGGCAGCAACTCTGGCGAGGGCCTCGACTTCGTCAACGGCCAGACTTGGTTGGAGAGATTCTACTCTGTCTATGGTAGGTCACCTCAATGGGTCCCTGTAACATGTTGGCTTACGCAGTCACATCTAGATACCGACAACCAACAGCTCGGCTTAGCTACTACCCCATATACTGATGCGACCATAAACTGAAAACAAGACACGAGAGTCTAGGAATTGTAGTTTTGTGTTTTTACTCGATCAGCGAGACTTTGGGCTGCCTAGCTGGCAGCCGTATCTGAATTTATGCATCAAACTGCCAGCTATCCTTCGCTAGAGCCTCCATAGCCTGTGTTGCGGACTCTTTTGGCACAAGAACATAGTCGGTATTCCTAGCAGCATGACATCAAGCAATGCAAGCTTCGCACGTGCCAGGACTTACCACGTCGACACGGCGAAGACGGGTATGCCCGCCGCCTTGAGCGGCGCTGTAAAGCAGGCCATGACACCTGTGACGGCTTCCGCGTCCGAGTCGCATACAGCTCAGCCAACCCTGGTGCATGCCGAAGCGAGGAAACAACACACCAAAGTCCATGGGCCCTGCAATCTTGATACACCGCCAGGTCGCAGAAGCGTCGTCGGTCTCGCGCACGATGGAGATCTCCTCGTCGGTGCGCGTGACCGAGATGAATTTGCCTCCGGACGCCGCCCCGTCTGTTAGGGCGTGCACGAGGTGCGTTGGAATGCGCTCGCCGGGTTTGAGCTGTGATACCTCGAAGAGACCTCCGAGGAGACGCAGGCGGAAGGCTGGGTGGTCGGACGGAGGTGGTGGAGGCATCTTGAGAGTGAGTGCCTCCACGAATGTGGTCAGTGACTCGCGTTCTGAGCATGGAGACGCGTGCGCGCCATTGGGACCGCGGCACATCTAGAGGCATGATAGCATGGCTGTGCCACCGCGCTCTTCATGCCGCTCGAGCATTTGCGGATAACCTCGTAAGATAAGCTACACTATAATACATGGCCAGACCCGCGTTGCGTCCCGGTCATAAACACAGAGTCCTATGTGATCCTGAAACACTCTGAAAGGCCCGGGCCTCTTGTACATCACGTACGAGGCAGTATATCAAGATGGCAGCCTATAGAGCACCAGTGAGGATTGATATATGCGATTTCAACCGAGCCGCACTTACAGAGACGGCCTAAGACCTGCGAGTGCTGGATCCAGACTTGGGTAGGTATTTGAGTCCCTCCGAGGCGCAGCTCCCCTGCTCTGCCATGTCTGACCAGCCTTGTGAGAAAAGCTCAAAGCAGAGTAAAACAGCCGTATACTAACTGATCGGGTCGAATTCGCCGTCAATGACCGAGCCCTTCAAGTTAAAGTAGTAGCTGATCTGGAAGATTGTCGTGTCGTCGTCGCAGTCCAGAGAAGGGGTAAAACCGTGCGCGGACTGGATAGCGTTGGTAATTTCGGACAATGTGTACGTCTTGGTGGCCGAAGGGGTGATGCCGGCGGATGCAAGCCAATCATATGTAGGAAGCGTCTGCAGAAATTATGTCAGGAAACATATGGCAGTTTTGGAGGCAGACGGCATGCCTGGAAGAGGCCGACAACGGTGTTGAAGAAGGCAACTGCTTCGGCGCCCTTTGGGCTACCAGCAGGGAGGCAGGACGGCTCCAGGGTACTATAACAGGTTCCATGGGTGCTCCATTCATGTTCCCAGAAATCTTCGCTTGACTCGTCGTCGCTGACCCAGAACTCCTCCATGAAAGACAGGGTGTCTGAGGCACCTTGTGCAGTGAGGAGCTTAGAAGCTGGTCAGCTGACGAAGGGCGCACAGAGAGACTATAAGGTTCATACCCCGGAGATGTCGGTGTAGTCGCGCGAAGGATCGCAGTCTTCTTCGAATGTACCATCGCAGCTGTTGAGAACGAGGTCAGATATCAGATTCTGAGGCAGAAATGTTGGAGAATATCTACTTGTCGGGCCAAAGGCCTTCATTCGGAAACAAGTCAGCGGCAGTACCATACGTCAGGCCGGATGATCTTACCGTGAATTGTCCAGCTGTCCGACGGTCCAGTAGAGGGGTCCGTGTCCCAGAATTGTACCTGGAGGACTAGACCCTAGAGTATTACGATTATTGAGTGTTTTTCTGCTGTTGACACTATTATCTCAGCTTACACCGGGCGACTCGAAGCAGCAAAGGTTACTCTGTGCCGTTGTGTTATGGCACGAAGCAGGTCCATTTGTGCTGCATCCAGAGCTGACCTGCGCATTCCGGGCAAAAAGGTCCATGCCATCCACCGGGGTGAGGAATGCCAGGGCAGAGCCTGCAAGTGAGCCTAGCACGAGTGCTGCCGCAAGCATGGTGTCCTGTTGCGCTTGTCGTGAGCAGATGAGAGGTGGGAAGTAATTTCGAAGACATGCCATTATACGAGGGCTTTATATACAGTAGAAGTCCAAAGAAGTTCTTTCTTCGCTTGCGGGGAGTCGCACGTTTAGCCTGGACTCCATGCGAGAGCACTCAGTTCAGCGCCGCCCCATGGAAGCAAGCATATGGGAGACTGGGACCTGCGGCAGCAGCGACGATGAGCATGTGGGCTCGCTCGCTTCGCGCGCTGTGATTGGGCGGGGAACACTCGAGCCCATATGCATAGTGCCTTCCCGTAGCGCAGCTTCGTGGTGCCAAAGATATACTTTGCATGTGGCCTCTGCGTGATGTGGCAGCCGATCGTGCAATTACAAGGAACATAAACAGGGTCCCTTGGCGGGTGCTTAGCTTCCAAGTTTTTCGCACTACGCTTCGCAATCATTGCGTCCGACTCCAATTACGGAGTCGCGTGACTCCAGAAGGGTGAGCGTTCGAATCGCTCTGGCCTCAGTGTTTTTTTAGAATACGTTTTAAGGTGTTAAAAGCAGAACACTTAGAAGTCACTCATGATTCGCTTATCCTGCGAATATGCGCATGCGAGTGAGCAATGCGTTGTAAAAGCGTGAATATAGGATATCAGCGTTGAGCGCTTGAGCGTTAACGCCAGTCGTGCGCACTTGCAAGCGCTTGATCATGAGCTTACATTGATGCAAAGAGTGAGGCTAATGAAGCGTCGACATCATCGCCGAACCTCAGTGCCGCCACGCACGACTCATGCTGTGAGCACCGCCTGGGGTTGCACGGGAAGATATGATATGCGGTTCGCCGGCCATGGGTGTGCCATAGGTGCCTTGTTCCCTCGTCGGCGCGCTTGATCAGAAAGATACAGCAGCGCTGACAACTTTCTCAAGGACGTGTAACTTCTCTGACATGCGCCGCGTGCGATGAATCCTTCGCTGGATCTCATTGCCCACAAACCGGAAGCAGAAGTGTTCAGCGAGAGCTTCCGAATAGCGGGTGATCGGAGAAGAGTGAGGTAAATCTGGACGCACACCCCTCACGCTGAACAACGTCTGGAATCAGACGCGCTACCGTTGCGCCATGGCCCCCGCATAAACCTCTGGCCATAGGGATCATTCGATATCTGCCATCGTAGCTTTAGCTGAGTCCGAGTCGGACCAAAGTCCAACTCGAACAATTACCGTAATTGACAGACGGTACCCATGATCAATACTACTTCACTCCTGGTCTTGTCACGTTTGAAAATTTGAAGAGTTGTTCCCAGGCTGACTGCGCATGCGAAGCACACGTTTCGTTGCTTTAGAACGTGCCACTGTATTGGCCTGGACTGTTTTTAACGGTCTTTCCCGAATCCCGACGGTGAATGTCTAATATGGCCGCCCGTGATGCAGCAGTGACCAGGATTTCTGATGTAAGCACATACATTTTTTTTTCATCTTCGTTGGATAGATACAACTGACGCTCCATTTTAGCCCGGCCAGCGCGCTAGGAGCGACGAGGTAACTGCCCGGCTGTTCAAGCTACAACATAAAAGCCTAATAGCATTGCTCGTTAAGCTTGTACAAGTGCGGAAACACTATCGTCGATGGTAGTTGGATCCCACCCAAAGGCTGCATCTGATTGTGCACTCAACTATTGCGTCTCAGTTACTTCCGTCGACGACGGAACCATCTGATGGCTATAACAACAACGAAGCACTCTCCCAGCCCTTCTTAGTGATACGCTGAGAGTAGCGAGCAAAGTCATGGACACGCTGTCGCCTGTGCCGAGCACGGGTTCCTGATGTCCTCCTGATCCTGTTGTTCACTCCCTCTTTTAACGACCGCCTCGGTGTATAAAGGCTACCACTGAGGCCATTTGCTCCGCAGGACTACTACTGTTCTCTTCCCAAGCATGCGTGTTCGCCGCTTCCTCCTGGCCTCCTCTCTCGGTCTCCTGGGTACGGCCTACGCCACCCCAATGACTGTGCGGAGTGCGCCTGTCACGCTGCCCGTAGCAAAGCGCGTGAACACGACCGGCACGCTCAACCTCGTGGCGCATGACAGAGCTCGTGTGGCAGGGCTGCGCGCGCGTAGTACCGGCGGCGCTCTGCAATCCGACTCGATCGTCGGGAGCGCACCTTCGACGAACCAGGCAGTAGACTACGTCGCAAGCATCGAAATTGGGAACCCACCGACGACCTGTAGGTTCTTCTAGTGTCTTATCGTTATGTCAGCTGAGATATTATGCTTCCAGATTCGCTTCTTGTGGACACGGCGAGCTCGAATACGTGGGTCGGCGCCATGCAACCGTATGTCCAAACGGCGACCAGTGTCCAGACGCGCGACTCTGTTGTACGTTTGCGGTTTACTTTCTGGTATATTTGACTCAATTCGCACTGCAGCACGTAACGATAGGTGCGGATGAGTCTATGAGCGGTATGCTGGTTTGTTGAATATCCATCGCATGGCCAGCTAACTCAACCATCAGGCATCGAGTTCAATGACCAGGTCTCTATCGGAAATGGAGATGGACTCGTCATTATTGGCCAATCTATCGGCGCGGCAACGGATACGACAGGTTTTGACGACAGCGACGGTATCCTTGGGTAATGGCCTTTGTCCATGCTGCCTACCGTTGGCTAATTCTTGGCGCAGTCTCGGCCCAACATCCCTCACGATTGGAACCCTCTCGCCAGATACGACACAGAGTGTCCCGACGGTGGTAGACAGCCTCTTTCAGCAGGCAGTAATCCAGCAGGACCTCGTCGCCATCTCGTTCGAGCCGACGAACAGCGTCGGGAACGCGAATGGCGAGCTTACGTTTGGCGGCACAGACTCAAGCAAGTTTATTGGATCGATTGACTTTACGTATGTCGTCGTTTCTTTCTATCTTGCATGCGAGAGACAGAGAGATGAACGGTCTTGCTTGGGACAGACCGATCACGACGACGAGCCCGTCGAGCAATTTTTGGGGCATCAATCAGCAGATTCGGTATGGCACGAACACGAACATTCTCTCCGAGACCGCCGGGATCATCGACACGGGCACGACGCTCATGCAGATCGCCACTGGTACGTCGCTCTTCTCCCTTTTACTGCCCTTCATACCCTGACCATGGCGATACTACCCAGATGCATTCCAGCGCTACCAAACCGCCACCGGGGCGGTACTAGACGACAACACTGGCCTATTGTCGCTTACGCTCGACCAGTTCTCAAGCCTGCAGAGCCTGTCCTATGTCATTGGCGGCGTCACGTTCGAGTTTACCGCGAACGCGCAGATCTGGCCTGTACGTCGAGTCCTCTTCTCTCTCGATTTGTGCATCTGCTGACCACAGGGGCTGCACGCAGCGTGCCCTGAACGACGCGATCGGCGGCGATGACCAGCACGTGTTCCTCGTTGTGAGCGACATCGGCTCCAACTCAGGCTCCGGCCTCGATTTCATCAATGGCATGACCTGGATCGAGCGGTTCTATGTCGTCCTCGGTGCGTTGTCAGTCTCGGGTTCGTTTTCCGAATGACTTGTCTAATGATAGTTTGTGCTTATGACCAGATACGGGCAACCAGAGGGTTGGAATTGCCAACACGCCGTTCACGCAGGCCGGCACAAATTAGCCGAGGTTGGTGCGGGAGATTCTATGCGACGGCAGGTCGAGTTTTTGGGGCTCGATATCGTCAAGATGAGATTAAGTCTTCGTACGAGAATATATACTACACGCTCAGCAAAGCTCCGCAAGCACGCCTACGGCTGGGAAACGGGATATGTTACATGCCAACGAAAACCGAAAAGTGTTCTACAACCATGGAAAGGGTGAGTAGAGTATAGATACAGGACCGGCACCGGTAAAAGAGAGTGAATACACGTCTACTCCATGCTATGACATCAAAAGTGATACGCTAGCGAATCCAACCTCTTCCTTCGTCCTTGACTGCATCCTTCTTTCATAGAGTCGACTAGTCGACGTCGTTCCAACTTCCAGGAAGGTCGTGGCCGTCGTGACTGTTGTGGCGTTGAGAACCGCCACGGCTGTTGCCCTGCGAGCCACGGCGCACATTTGGGCCCGAAGTGTTCCTGCTGTCATGCTGGTTGTTCGGGCTTTGGTTGTTTCCGGTGGCCTGCTGCCCCGTGCTCGACGCAACGTTCTGGATGATGTTGAAAAAGCTGCCGAGGAAGCCTCCGGGTATATGCTGCTGGTTCTGTCCGCGCGGTGACGATGGGCCATTGTTGTTTGCACCCGTGCTGGGATTGCCGCGATTGTTGTTGCTGTCAGTATTGTTGTTGGGACTAGAGCTGCTCGCAGGACCGGCACCAGAAGAACCGTGCGAGGGCTGAGGGACAAGCTGGTGCCTGCAAACGGAGCAAGAATCGTAGATCAGCATCTTCCATTCCAGCGGCAGACGACCCTCCCAATCAATCCTCGCCAAGGAGTGGACAATAGGGACGGGGGAGGTGTGCAATGTGGATGCAGGCAACAACGAGGCTTACCTGCAGACAGGGCAGGTACCACTGGACTTGAGCCAGGGCATGATGCATGGCTCGTGGAAAGGATGCTTGCAGGGAAGCATGACGACAACTTGTTCGTTCGGATCTTCTGTTCCAAGCTGGAACTGCTCTTTACACACCGCACAGTCTTTCTCGAGCAGTGGGGCTAACAGGGTTACGTCAATGTAAATGAAGCCGGAGATAAGGGCCAGACGTACATCCTTCCACGAGCACCTCGCGCGGGAGGTTCTTCATAATTTCCTCCGTCGCCGCAACGGGATGTCCTTGGGAATTCTCCATAAGCTGAGTGATAATCTGATCGAGCGCTATAATGAGGCAGTACAAGTCAAGCTAACACATCCTCGTGGCACGGGAACAATGAAGACGCTAACCTTCCTGGTTGAAGACATAGTCCCCAAACCTGCCTGCTTCAGCACCTGGGGGCATCATGCCTTCCAAGACATCACCCATGGGGCCGTTGCGGTTGGGATTCGAGAGCATAGCGAGTAAGTATTGGAACATGAGTGATCCATCAATCGTATCCCGCCCTTGTTGTGGTCGTCGTCCCCCGAAATTTGGGACGTATCTGGACAGACATGAGACAGACGCATGTACAATGCACAGCAAATCACGTACTCTGAAAAGAGGGGAATATCGCCTGTTCTTGCGGGCCCTGCCGAGAACGTGGTTCGCGGTCCTTCACCTGGAGTGCTTGTTCGGTTGATGCGTATTGTATAGCCCGAGTTCTCGCCCATTGTCTTGGTGACATAGATGAGTTAAGAAATGAAACAGACACCAATCGCTCAAGACTTACTGGTAGAGTTGTTCTGCTACCCGCGAGCGGTGGGGACCGTGCCTGTCCTGGAGGAGTAGCGCTTGTTCGAAGGAGATTGTGCAGTCCGACTGCAGAGCGATGAGCGCCGATGAAGCATCGCAGACAACACATACTCACAAAGAAGGTTATCCGCTCCAAACGGGTCGTCTTCCTCTCCGAAGCCATGCGCGAACTCGCGCGGATCGTCCGTTGGATTCTCGAGCTGTTGACCGATATGAGCATGTGGGGCGTCGCAGTGGGCTATGGGCGCATACCTTCTCAACAAATGTTCCGTTGCACGATGCGCAATGGGGATCTGGCACCTGTAAAATGGTCACACTAGTCTGTGGGGCGTGAGCGCACGCTGACTGACCATTAACGGGCGCATCTCGGCATGGCACTACGGTGGCTGTGATTAATCGAGGAGAATGTCGAGATTAATTTCGACGAACCTCATGGCAGTACCAGAGGGGCTCTCTGCTCGACATCGTTGTTGAAAGTGGCGGTGGAAGACGCAGGTATGCGCTGCAGTGGCCGTCTCAATCCAAGTATGTATGAGTGACGTCCAGCGTCTGCGCGCAGGTATCGTCGCCACTATGAGCGTCTGAGCAAACAAGGGTACACAACGCGGCTTGGGTGTGATGCCACGCGACTAGTGTTCAGTTGTTCGACTCTCGTGCTCTGTCGCCCGAGCAGGATACCCCCCGACCATCATGCGTGTCGACGACGACGCTCTCCCTTTCCCCGACCTCGACGAATACGGCGACGAAGGCGTCGGCATCTTCTATCCCCTCTCCATCTTCTTTGCCCTCGGCATATGGCTCGTCTTTCAGCGATACCAGTCCATGAGCAACAGGGCTGTGCCCTTCCGCATACGGGCCCCAGAAGTATGCTTATGTGGCAATCGAATTCGAGAGCACGTTCTGACACGCGTACAAAGCAAATCGGCCCTGATTTTCAAGCAACAAGGATTGAAGACCCATCCATAGACTCTCACCTGCGAGACCCAGGGCTCATGCCCCCTGTTCACCTCCAGGGACGGAAGTACATCACATGCTACGACCCCGCTACAGCCTGGCATCTTGCTACATACGTTGCAGACCACGCTGACGAAATTCAGCACAAGATCAGGCTTGCTGTGACTGCCCAGCAGTCGTGGAAGAACAGCTCGTTTGCCGACCGACGAAAGGTAGTGCGAAGCCTTAAGAAATGGCTGATTGATAATCAAGAAACTTGTGCGAAAGTCGCTGCCCGCGACACGGGAAAGACGCGTATGTTATCGGTTGTGTTTGGTCGTGTGCCCCGCTTCTAGAGCTCACGCTTTGGCACAGTGCTCGATGCTGCCCTCGGTGAGATCCTCACGACTGCTTCCAAGATGGACTGGCTTGTGCGGCATGGGGAACGCTACTTGAAACCAGAGTCCCGAACCACGAACTGGATGCTCCTTTACAAGAGCGCTAAGGTTCATTATGCGCCACTGGGTGTCGTGGCAGCTATCGTCTCCTGGAACTACCGTGCGTTATGTGCAACGCGAATATGTGTACTGACCGTATCTAATGCGACTCTTTAGCCCTCCACAATGTGTTCTCCCCAGTTCTTGCTGCCATCTTTGCCGGAAACAGCATCATCGTAAAATGTTCGGAGAACGTCGTCTGGTCGACAATGTGGTATGTTAGTGCAATTAAGGAGTGTCTCAGGGTCTGTGGCCAAGACTCAGAGCTTGTTCAGGTATGTGTGGTTACATCATGCATAACTTAAAAGGCACTCACACACTGACGTAGTTGGTCTGCTGCTATCCAGAGGAGGCCGAGAGTCTGACTAAGTCCCCCTGGATTCGCCACATCACGTTTATTGGTTCTGAAGAAGTCGGGCGAAAGGTCGTACTCGCCGCAGCTGAACAGCTGACGCCTGTGACTCTTGAGCTCGGCGGGAAGGATCCAGCCATCGTTATGCCTTCGACGGACATCAAGCAGTATGAAAGCATATGGATGCGCGGTCTCTTGTATGTCTATTTTTACTTCTGCAGTTCACGCATGCTCTGCTCAACTGACCACCCTCCAGCGGAAACGTCGGCCAGAATTGCATTGGCATTGAACGCCTCCTTGTGCACTCCTCGCAGTACGACGAAATCTATTCCCTCATCGTTGAGCGCACGAAGCAACTCCGCCTTGGCTGTGCACTCTCGCAGCCCCAGGATGGCTTTGTGCCTACTGTTGACTGCGGTGCGATGATTAACAACAGCCGGTTTGACGACCTCGAACGTGTTCTTGAGTCGGCGGAGAACCACGGCGCAACGATCGATGTCGGTGGTAAGCGGTGGAAGCACCCGTACCTCGAACACGGCGCCTACTTCAGCCCGACGGTTGTTGGCAACGTGGATCACTCAAGCGAGCTTGCGCAGCGTGAAAGTGCGTCTCTAAGCAGTCGACTCGCGTGCCCTCACTGATGATCGTAAATGTAGTGTTTGCGCCCATTGCAGCTATCATCAAGTACGATACCATCGAGGAGGCTATCGCTATCGCGAACGGCACGCGATATGGTCTCGGTGCGAGCGTGTTTGGACCTGACCAAGAGAAGTGCGTCGAACTTGTTGCGAAAAAACTGGAATGCGGTATGGTGTCAATCAACGACTATGCCGTTTATTACGTGAGTCTCTTCTCTATACCACTATTTTACTTCAACAAACCTTGCCTTCACAGCTGAAGTGGGTTTCTCGTTTCGCCGTGGAGTATTATCGGTGCTGATACCTTTCGCAGCCAAGATCTACCCTTTGGCGGTGTCAAAATGAGCGGATATGGCCGCTTTGGCGGGCCCGAAGGCTTGCGCGCACTCACAAGCACCAAGGTCATCGTCGTTGATCGCTGGCCATGGCTTATTCAGACGAGCATCCCCCAGCCACTTGACTACCCAATTCGCTCCATCGCCCTCAGCTGGTACGTCTTGCTTCCCTCTTTATCTCTGTTTCGTCGGATGTACTCACCATCTCGCCTGCAGGCAATTCGTGAGTGGCCTCATCGGATTTTTCTATGCCGAGGAATGGCGTGCGCGCTTCGAGTTCCTCGCGGCACTCATCGACGCTGCGCGTCGGTGATTACACTGCTCGTCTTTGCTACAACGTGCTTGCGCGGGACTGTGATGATCTAATATAGGTTTACGACTTTACGACGATTGGAATGCTGTCCGTGGAGTAACAATACTAATGTTGACGTCGTCTTTCGGTTATGACTTGGGCCTTGGTCGCGGATAGCGGGCGAGAGATGCTTGGGCGTGCCTGGCATTTTGAGAGAGCAGATAGAGAGGCACTCCCGTGTGGCGTATCACGGCTGAAGATCCATTAACGACTGCGAACAGTGTCTTTGAACGCTGCGGTGCCAGGGCACCAAGGAAGCTCAACGCTGTAAGCTTAGTCATACATATCATATGCATGTTGGCGGCTGACCAACGCGGCTAGTGGCCTCGAGCTGAGTATGTGACCTAGACCTATACTGGTCCTCACTAGTACTACAATATGTTCAGGAATGGAATTATTCAGGCGAGTTGCATACGCTGTGCGGTGACGCAGTCCATCTGCTGTCTTCTGCAACATTTGTTAGTTGGTAGCCACTATGACCTCGATCATATATTGAGTGCGCGGGAATTGTCTGCATGTATTTGGCTACCAGTACGCGGAGAAGCGCATCATTCCAAAAACAATACCGAGCGGGGGATCGCCAAATTAGGTATTGTGACCGCCAGCGGCCGCCCGCTCTCAAACGTTGAACCATGAAATAACGTTCTTACCCTCGTTGTCCTCATCGCGCATAGCGTCAGAGACTGACGCGCGATACCGCGACTCCTTCTGATCCATATACCGCCTGTGTACCTTCATACGCGTGCAAATCAACCAGGCCAATGATCGACCCCTCGCTACCCGCTTCTGCTCCGTCCGCCAAGGCCAGGGGAAAGCGAGCCGCCACAAATACCACGGAAGATACCGCTGTATCGCGTGCGACAGATGCACCAGTCGCTACGATTGCTGAGCCAGCGGCAGACCCATCTGCAAAGTCGGGGATGCAGACCCGCAAACGAGTGCTGCCGTCGCGTTCGCGGAGGGGTGGGCCAGGAGTTGGGAACTGTGACGTGGACGTCATGATCCTTGAGACGAGACGTAGACAATGTGCGTGTCATAGTTCCCTATCAATACATATCATCATGCCTAACGTCCCTCGCAGTCGAGAGCGAACCACTCATCCCGCCGAATACCAGGTTCCTGCTAACGACCAACCTCGCACTCCTACCCTCCACTTCTAGCGAAGGATTAGCAGACATTGAGCTCAACACGCAGGCGTATGGACGGTACTTCGACCGGCCGGAAGTTCAACAGGCGTGTCGCGAGCAGGCACTCATTCAGACTCCGGAGTTCACCCAGCTCTCGGATGACGCTCTTGTCGGAGGTCGGTTTCGGCCACGGAATTCAGACGAGGTGCGCAGATAATATATCTCAGTTCGTCGCATAGCTGAGATCAATATGTAGGAGCTTGTGGATACTTCTGACGCCGCATACGAGAAACGACACCGCAAGTATGAAACATTCGAGAAGCGCCAGCGGCTGAGGGAGAAGGAGAAGCTCAAGCACGAGCAGTACAAATTGAGAGAGCGTATCGAGCAACTACGTGCAATGGAGGCGGCCGCGTTTTTCGCGCTGCCTGCATCAAACTTCTCCGAGCCGTCGGGCACTGCGCACGAGAGCACATTCGACGAGGACCTTGGCGAGCTCCCTGGAACGCATGTCAACGGCGCCGCCGCGTACAACGAGGGTGAACGCCGCCGAAGGGAGATGCTCGATGTTGCGGAGGCCCTCGAGGAGAGGTACCGGGTGCTCTTACCCCCTGACCGCAAGTGGCTGGAGAAGAAGGAAAGGATGAAGCGCGAGCGTGCAAGTGCAAGTGGGAGCATCTCCGTCGAGCCCGAGCGCCGCAGGGCGACGCCTCATGAGGTCGACTCCGAGGAAGAAGACGAGCTCGAGTCTTCTGTTTCTGCGCCGTTACTCCGGCACACGCGCGAGAGCAACGGCGGGTCAGAACTAGACTTCGAAACGGGAGATCACAAACGGTCGAAGAAGCTCAAGCTACGCATACCGCCGCGCCTGCCACTTAGCGAGCTTTCGATAACTCCTGCGAAGAAGCCGCATCATAACTCGAGCACAATGCTCATCGCCAGCCAGAATGGCCAATCCGCCATTCGTGCAGCGGATGGCCGATTCCTATCCAAAGCAAAACGTCTAGCGGCAGCTGCAGGAGAGGCTATCGAAGTCCACCGCGTAAACGCCTTAGGATGTCCAATGTCATCGCAGACCCTGCAAGCTCTCCTGCCAAACACTCGGTTACCAGCACCGAGAGCGGGAGTGGTCGCAATCGTCAACCTTGCGTACTCATGCTTTCTGCCATACGCGACTCTGCAACCCAGAAAAACCGCAAAACTCAGCGGCATGTCACAGCCTTTGGTGTTCGAGTTCCTCCAGAGATCGAGGCGATTCGAGACTTCGAAATCCCTCCATGGGTAGAAGAAGACTACGAGGAGGATGAGCTAGCAGGAGACGAAAGCTACGCGGAATACACAGCTAGCGATGATGATGCGGCCTCCGGACATTCGCATGGAAACGAGTTCGAAGAGATTGAGTGGGACGAGGACACGAAGGAAGATATCCCCGAGATCGAACTACTCGATGATTGAACCCAAGCGTCACAGATGCCTGCTAGCTTTCCGATAGCCTATTATTCGCGTAACAGTAGACCAGCGTATGTATCCGTATTACGAGCTTTGTTATCAGTACTCTATGGCGCGTTTGTGCCAGGTGTGATCGCCCGCGGGACACCAGTGAGATTGCTCACGATCGCAAGCGCATTTAGTCTTTGGTCGAGGGGAGCGGCGGAGACCCTTGACAAGGCGAGATGAGCATAGCCAACAGGGCCCAGCTTCTTCAGCGTGTCCCCAGGTGTGGAAACGAGCGCTTGCGGCAGATAACGAGAATACTCGCCGGCGGTCTCCTCCAGCATGCGTTGAGTGCGCGTAGACGAGGGTGATGCCGCGGAAAAGGTGAGTGGGACGACTTGGTGTGTAGCCGGCGATGAAACGTCGAACAGAGTCTTGAGGTCCGTCCCCTGTACGATTCTCTCAACTACCACTTTCTTCGCCTTCTCGCCCCTTGCGTTTGTGGCATTGTTCGCCCTGGCCTCAGCACCCTCCGCCGTACCTTCCGCCGCGAACTCCTTCTCACCCCGACGACGCCGGTCCGCGAGCTGCGGAGGCGTGGCGAGTTTGACTTGCGATGACCGGAGGTTGCCGGGCTTGTGTTTAGGGATCCATTGTTCTTTAGTGCGTGCAATCTCTTGCGCACGCTTGTTCATGAGGCTTGATGAGAGGCTACCGCGACCAGAGAATTCTGCCTGGCTCATACCAAGGGGACTATGGCCCCGTTGTTGAACTGTCAGAGATGTTCGTTAAACAGGGCGTTCACAATAACGGGAAAGCGTAGAGACACATACCAATAGTGTCGCGTTCGGCTACAATGACGCACGGATAAGTGACTTATATGCATCGCAAAGGTACACACACATACGGATGGCCAAGTCACCGAAAGCATTGGCGAGAGGAATTCTCGATTTTCGGATAGGCTGAGCTGGAGCAACTTGCGAAACCGCCGGCTCGGTCGTCTCGGTAACAGCAGCAGTAGTGTTCGTCCGAACGGCGGTCAGAGCCCCGACCGTAGATCGCGCGTTGGCTCTGCAAGACTGCAAAGTCGTTCTGCTGAGCACCATCACAGGTAGTGGCGGTCGGGTACAGGTGAACAGCGAACCTGAAGAGCGCCTCTACTCCCTAGAAGGCAAGGGGTCCGGATCGGAGGCGTCGGGGCAGGCGTCCCACTTTGGGACGCCTGCCCGCTTGCTGCTACGTCTCCTTCACATTTCTTAGCGTGCGGATGGGGCGACTCGTCGGACGACTTTTTGTTGGCGGGACTCTTTTCCTCATAACATTCATTGGATACTCGTCGCAAATATTCATCATATGGCCGTGGTACGGTCGCGAGCTCACCGTAGAGCTGCTGACTCTGCTTATACCCTTCAAGTAAGTCCAGAGCTCATTCTCTGTACAACTCCTCTCATACTTATCGTTAGTGCGCTACTTGGAATGCTGCTATGGAGCTATTACCTTGTTGTCACGACAAATCCGGGGCAAGTGCCTAATAACTGGGTGCGTTCTGTCGTAACTTGCAAGGTACCTTACTCTTTTGACGCGTTGCAGCAACCGAACTTCCAAAGCGAGGAAGGATATGAAGTAAAGAAGCTCACTAGAGGACCTCGATACTGCCGGACATGCGAGAACTACAAACCACCGCGTGCCCACCACTGCCGACAATGCAAGCGGTGCGCAAGACTACTTCTTCCACGAGTCTTCCCGCTGACCTCTGTGCAGATGTGTGCTTCGGATGGGTATGTTCTTCTCCTATGCTGTGTCTGTTATATGTCTCATCGCTTATTGCCAGATCATCATTGCCCATGGGTCAACAATTGCGTCGGGCACTACAACTACGGACACTTCATCCGCTTCCTGTTCTATGTGGACATCACATGCGCGTACCATCTTGGCATGGTTACGAGACGTGTACTGACTGCTTCAGCTACACGATTCTGGGTACGCATATCCTACCACCAGCTGTGGTATATTGCTGACTGCCGCAGGACGAACCCTCTTTTCAAGAGCTTATCTTTATCGTCCTAAACTATACTTTTTGCGTGCCAGTAATGCTTGCCGTCGGTGGTTTCAGGTATGTCATAATGCTACTGTGTGACAGCAATGCGCTAAACAGTTCTTTCAGTATTTATCACTTTAACGCCTTGTGCAATAATACGACAACTATAGAGGGCTGGGAGAAAGATAAAGTTGCCACCTTAGTTCGCAGAGGGAAGATCCAAGAGGTAAGCTCTGAACGCTCGCTTTATCCTGAGCACCTCTAAAAGATGATTATATCAGATCAAATTTCCCTACGTAAGGATACCATATTTGTCCGCACAGGATCTTGCTCACGCCCTGGCATAGAACATCGGTGCCTGGGGGAACATCAAGTCCGTCGTTGGCGGTAATCCTTGGCTCTGGTGCTGGCCCGGTCCTCCCAAAGGCGATGGGCTCAAGTATCCGCTGGCGGACCCGACTGGTGAGTGGGTGGAGCTCCAACCGCAGTCGGAGGACTGGAATCGGAGAATGGACGCCTGGAAGAGTCACGATGTAGCTGAGCCGTAGTAGGTTGGACTTTGCCTTTCTACCAGTTAGAACGTGAGGGCTCATCTTTACTCAGCTAACCAGCTTTCTTCAGCTTTGTCTCCTAGCCGTGCATTCGCACATTTGCTCATATCCTTCATTCTCAGATCCTAGGTCGGAGTCTTGGCCACCTAAAGATCCAAACGCATACCCCTCTTCCGATCCAAATCACGTCTTCACTCTTCCCTCGAGCCCCTGGACATACGAGAACGGCTCGCTCAATCCGCACCTGCAGCCCAATGGCTTGGTACGCCGCGCATCTGGCTCTGGACGCAGACGAACAAGGGCTCGCGAGCCTGTCGCATCTGTCCCGCCCTACCACCCCGACTACCGTCCACCCGGCGACGACAACGCCTTCTCTGATTCCCCGGGCTCTGTCGCCTCGTTGTTAGACGAGGATGAGGACGAGGACGAGGACGCACCGCTGCGTCCGCGTTCTCTCGTGCGGCGGGGCTCGGAAGGCTACGAGGTGCGCCCGATCGACCGCGAGGAGACGCTGCGCCAGCATGTCCTAAGCCAGGTGCATGAGCCCGGGCGGTATAACGTGTATGTGCCCGAAACGCCCAGCACTAGTGAGGAAGAGGACGAGATAATACCACTTGCTGATAGGGTTGAGAGCTGGCGGAAGGCGGCTGAGGTGGAAGCATGACTGCAGAACCGACACAACGTATACTCTCGATTAGACATGTATAAGCTGTAGTTTATGCTCAGGAATAAGTACTACTGATACAAAAAAAACTCATAGTAAAAGAATCACAGTAAAAGAACCACACTAAGGTATAACGTATAACCCCCACCGCCGCCAAGACGAAGACAAAATGTCATCACTGGCCACTACGCCAAAGCTATTCGGTCAAGATATGCACGCCATGTCATCCCGCCTTTCGCACCGACCTCGACAACACTCGAGCCCACAGGCAACTCAAATTCCCAGACACCGCCCTCTGTGGAGCTGACAGCAATACCATTGAGCCTCACCTGAAGCTCGCCCTCGGAATGTTGGGGCTTGGCGGGTGCCTTCCCTTTCCCCTTCGGACTTTCGGTAGGTTTGCTGCGCTTCTTCCTCGGTCGTCCACGCCCACGCTTCTGTGGGATCTGCGGCTGCGGCTCTTCCTCCTCCTCGTCATCTTCCTCCTCTTCGTGCCGCTCGATATCGCCGTGGGCCCCGTCCTCGGCGTCACTGTCGTCGTCGTCCACGTACTTCACGTTGCTGATCCTCAGGCTGGTCTCAGTCGAGCCGAGACGCGCTGCCCAGATCTTCACGCCATTGCGGTAGTCCATGACCAGCTTGCGCCCCGCCGGCTTCGTGAGCATTGAGACGTGCCGCAGCGGACGGCCTGTCTCTGCAGGCGTTGGGGACTTAGCGACAGGCACTTGGGATTGCGAACGTTGCTGTGGGGGAGCATGAGCCTGGGGCTGGACGGGAGGCTGCGCGTATTGGCGGGCAGTGGGATTGATACTATTGCTGTTCGGTAAGGAAGTCGATGCGACCGGAGCACGATATGCTGCAGCTGGGTAGTGTTGACTGTATACACCGCCATATGTCGGCTGTGAAGTGTTTGCAGTTGGCGCAACTTGTGTAGCCGGCGTTGGCGTTGGCACTGTTGCATATGGTGACCCTACAGGCGGGGCAGGTGAAGCTACCACGGCACCATTAACCACAAGAGGAGTCGCCTTTGGTGGTGCTGGCGGCGACATAACACCAGTAAAAGTCGTTGGAGATGCAGCGTGCTGCGTCACGGGGGACGACACGGCCGGTACAGGGGGAGGCGCTCGAGCAATTGGTCGTGGGCTTGCCACAGTCGCAATTCCTACTGGAGCGACAGGTAGGGAGCTATTGCCAGCCTGCGGCGCGGGCGGCTGTGCGTTAGTCGGCTGAGGAATCTTCAGCTTCACCTTTGTCGAATGGTCTGAGGATGCATAAGCAGGAATGGTGAACGGCGGAGGAAGATCTGCCATAAGTTGTCGAAAGTGGTCCTAATCGACGGAGCACAAGGGCTATGAGAGCTATCAAAGCATGCGATAAGAAATGCACTGACTCGAAGTACTATTGCGTCTTCCCAGATCTCTGTATGTTCCTGATTGAATTCAAGTGCGTTAGAGAACACGAGCTCGACATCATTCGCGAAGTCGACGGGTGTATGGTACTCTTTGCGTTTCAAGCGTTTCTGCCAGAAGATTTTAAGTAATTCGCCTAGCTGAAGCGTTCCCGACATACGAAGATATTTTCTAGACATTGTGGCTTCTTGATCAGTCTGTAGTATATCGCCCATTGCTTCTTATTCGGAAGTTCCATAAACTCAGCAGACAAGACCCGACCACTAAGAAAGAGTTAGAACACGACTGTAGCTCGGTACGAAGGAAAAACGTACTTGTCATCGGTCTTGTCGACAAGCTTCTGAAGACGTGTCTTCAAGAGACGGCTCATATTAGGTGCCTTCTTCTTCTTGTCTTCGTTGTCCGAGCCAGCCTCCCCAGCTGCTTCAACGTCGTCATCGTCCCCAGCAGGTACTCCTGTGAGCTTGCTCGACTCCCTGTTGACCAGTTTCTGCGCAGAGGGCATATCAGGGGCGGACTGGCGTGACGGAAGACAGGAGTCATCCACTTACATGGAGGTGTTTCGCATCTCTCCAGATCTGACTCTCCTTCATGTTGTACTTCTTCGCATTCTTGAAGCACTGTTCGCAATCCGCCCTGATCTCCTCGAAGAACGCATACTGGCCGCTCTCGAGCCGTTTCTTTATGTCGTCGAGGGCTATGGGTCGCTTGATCTGCTCGTAGTAGTCGGGATATTGCCGTTTGGACGGCAGACGCAGGAAATCAAGAGACAGCTGTCGTCCGTTGCTGTATGAGTATTGACGACGTCGATAAGGCGAGCACAGCGATGAGTCGGCAAGGTGGCCGTAAGAGGTGGAAAAAGGCGAGTGATGAATTCGTCGGTTACCAAACTGCTGCAATCGAAAGAGTTAAAGACTGTCACGCACTCCTTATCCTTAGCGTCCTTGATCGTCTGCCACAACTTGAGCCCCCTCTCTTTCACCTGTCCTAGATCCTCGATAGACTTCTCGTTCTCGCCTAGTTCCACCCCCATGCCGTTGACTATCGACATCTCGCCGGACGCGCCTGCATTCTGTGTACTTGAGACCGCGGTCTTCTGTCGTTTGGCGCGGGGTGCATCCACATCCACTCCCTGCGCTGCGAACATGCTCGCTTCCCTCTTCGACATGGCGAAATTGTCGGTTCGCTTGGGGATAGCGGCTTGGGATCTCCTGTTATTTGTCGACGACGATGGCCAGCTCGAATAATGTGTCTGAGCCCGATTCCCTGCATACAGCGACGCGAGCCTGCGGGCCTGTTGATGGACTGCCTATTGTGGAAATGGTCCACGTGATCTTATTCGGAGCGCCACAACTGCTTTGTCCGAATCCACATCTCGAGTTTGCGGCACAAGGCACGAGGTGGGCTTCGAATAAAGATAGTGTATGCATGCTGTACATGTGCCGTTATACAGGACTGTAGCACATTTATACTTTTAGAGAAAACGCTCAATACTTGAGATGCAACATGTACTTATGACACCTAGACCTTACCACCAGCGGGCTGAATGTTTGTGAATTCATCCTTAACCTAGATACACGCTTTATCGACATTCTGGGTCTAGTATATATATATATATGCCTCTCACCTCTCTGAAGAAAGCCTCGTCGTCAATGATTCGGAAGCCGGTGAGCGCAAGCGCTTTGGCAACCTTGATCGTTTCATCATGAGCTTCCCGTGCCGCGGCAGCGGCAGCGAACTCGGCGGTATGGTTCGCGCCATTATGAGCCGTAGGAATAGCTAAACAGTTTCAAAGTATGCATTAGTTCATCTCGTGTATGCAAGTTGCAGGTGAGACGTACTGTACGCAGGGTGCAGACCCGGAAGCTCTGTACATCAGCTCAGCCTCTGTGACCATCTCGACCGGTAACAAAAATCAAGGTTCTGACCGTAGGTGACATTCCCCTGTGTACTCGATAAGAAAAGCGCAATGACATTGAAGCTCAAAAAGGCTCACGAAGTCGGTAGAGAATGCGCCACTGTCTTCCACCTTGGCCGCGGTCATGCCACATCTGTTGGCAGCGGTTCTTGCAAATTCACGTGCTCCAATCGAGCACATCAGCGCGACTGCAATGTAGCATAATCTCAGACATGATCTACCTAAGACCGAGTTTTGCTGAAGATTCAGTAGTGGCTGTTTACAGACGAAATTCAGGGAGCATCCCGTCGCTGTGGCAGCACCTCTACATGCAAAATGAAACCTCGACACGGACAAAGACGCAGGTAGTAGACTCACTGAAAACACTTCAGAACTCGTTCCCTCAGATCCCCGAGATCTTGCTTGGTTGGCGCGCGGATGTTCCACACCATGGACATATCGGAAGGAATAACTAAGGATCGTCAGCATGACAGTACACATGAACCGGAAGAGGCGGCGTTACCATTCACAGGGAGGGGAGACTTATCGAAATGCACAACACCGTGTACTCGAAGCTCGGGACGAAGCTGTTGCCTGAGCATTGAGACGGAATTGAAAGCGTGCACAACGGCGTCTTGAGCGTTGATTCCATCCCATGGCTGGAGCGCGGCCTGTCAATGGGCCCATGAGAACTGAGAAATCGTAAGCTGTTGATCCTTTGGGCGTACATGAGCTCTGAGAAGTGCCAGAAATTAGCAAGCGATGAAGATTGTTTGGCGAGAGTACGTACGGCTTTCCTTTGAAATTGACGTTGATGGCCTGAATAGCCAGGCTACTAGCAAGTGTGACCATATGTTTTGGACCAGACCCTGGATGACACCTACTAAAAGCGTGAGCCGCTGATGATTGTGGCAAGAGTGGAAAAACGAACATAATGCAGGTATCCATCTCTTTGTACGCACCTGCTTCTACCAGGCGGGCCTTGCCATGCCCGCCCTCCTCGGCTGTAACAATATTTATGCCATCAAAGTGGACCGATGAATTGGCACCACGGACCAGGCGTCCCGAGCAACACCACTGAGCCAGCGACATCATGCACCTCTAGTGCCTTCTTTACACCAAGAGCGACGGCAACTCCCGCTATGGCAATTAGATTGTGCCCACATGCATGGCTGGCGCTGCCCTTCGGAATGGGCAAAGCATCCATTTCCGAGTTTATGCCAAGTGTGCGGGCGGAATGGCTCGAGTGGGCTACTGCTTGCTCAGAGGTGTGAGTAAACGCGGCACGCCAAGCGGTGGTCATGTAACGCGGGGTCTCCTTAGATGGTACATGGGACTTGTACTGCTTGGTGACCTCAAAGTCCTGATAGGCCATGAAGTCACTCAGCGTATCATGTGCGAACCTGGGCGTATATGGTCGTCTTAGTACCAAGACCTTGCTCAAAAGGCTTCATTACTACGCACTGTTCGCGAAAACGCAACTCCGGATGGGCTACAATAAACAGTCAACAAGGAGTGTGGCCATATCAGATGCGGACTTACCATGTATCTTAAGACTGAGCTCCCGCAGCTGGGGACTGAGCCTGTCGATTTCCTGCTCAATGGTTTCCATGACTTCTGGTCGATATATGCCACTAGGGACAGAAAATGTGTCTGCACTAAATGCAATATCGTGTAAGGTATTCAGCACTTTTTCAGTTGAAGCTGTCGGCGCGACAAGGTTAGGGTCGAGCAGCCATTGATCGTTGGCATCGCCGTGAGCGATAGCATAGCAGCACACATCCTGGTGTAAGCCTTCATGATCCTCCAAGAGGCTGATGTCGACCATGTCTGCGAAGGTCAGCTTGGGTGCAGTGCAAGTGCACCGGCGCACACTTGCTTGGGCACCTTGGTAAGATGGAATGTATATAAGTACGCCATTCCAGCAGGACAAGGACTCTATAGCTCAGTGGTTAGAGCATGCGATTGCAGATCGCAGGGTCCCGTGTTCAAATCACGGTGGGGTCTTTTTACAACACTTCCCCCCTCACTAATAAAGCAACTTTTTTTCGACTGGAGGCGCTTTGGGCGTCTAGTGATGGGCATTCCCAAGTCTTCCGTTTACCGCGATGCGCAAAGCTTCGCTACGACAGCTCAGTGCTCTCTGTCGCAGAAACGTACACACTCATGACTTGACAAAGAACGTGGACTCGCTCGTTAAACTCACAACCCTTCCCAACAAAATCCGGGTTGCGACGGAGCACACCCCGGGGCACTTTGCTGCGCTTGGTTTGTATGTCGATGCTGGTTCTCGGTATGAGACACCAGCTACTTCTGGCGTGAGCCATTTTCTTGACAGAATGGCGTTCAAGGTGTGTAAGAGCATAATCAAAACCTCGTAGATTGTTCACAGCACTGCAGACGACTACAACTCGCTCAGACGAGGATATGGCGCAAGCTATGGACAAGCTCGGCGGTCAGATACTTTGCTCGTCCACACGAGAAGCAATCATGTATCAGTCTTCCCATTTCTCCAATGCCACACCACTCGCCCTGTCGCTCATTGCCGACACTGTAACATCACCAGCCTTACTCCCTGAAGAGCTCGAAGCACAGCGAGACGCGGCACGTTACGAGATACGAGAGGTTTTGAATAAGCCTGAAATGATACTGCCTGAGATACTGCACGACGTTGCTTACGGAGGTACTGGACTCGGCAACCCCCTGTTGTGTCCGCTGGAACGAGTAGACGAGATTGATGAATACGTGACGAGGAGTTTTATGAAGCAGTGGTACAGGCCAGAGCGGATGGTCATCGCCGGCGCAGGAATGCACCACGAAGAACTAGTTGAGCTCGCAGACAAATACTTCGGCAGCATCAAATTTGTCACTCCTGAGCAGCATTCGCAACCTCAGCTCCCCTTCTCAGGCTCGTCACGAACGCAGCAGCAACCGCCCGCCCATCTTCTTCCCTCCCAGCCGCAGCAAAACTCATTATACAAATCATTCACACGCGCAGCATCGTCTTATCTCCTGCCGAACCAGCCCGCCTCCATAGACCTCCCTCCGCTAGGCTCCACATACACCGGCGGACACCGCCATCTTCCTCCTGTCCCTCCTCCGCCATCGAACCCTCCCCTCCCTCAACTTTCACACCTCTATCTTGCATATGAGGGTCCGTCAATTCACGACCCTGACGTTTACGCCGTCGCTACGATTCAAGTCCTCCTTGGCGGAGGGGGCTCCTTCAGTGCCGGCGGGCCTGGAAAAGGAATGTATACCCGCCTGTACACGCATATCCTGAACCACTACCCTCAGGTCGAGTATTGTGCATCCTTCAACCACATTTACACAGACTCGGCGCTTTTCGGCCTGTTTGCGTCGTTCGTCAGCCGTCCCGCTGGTCAGACCGGCAGGGGCCGCATCGGCAGGTCGCGGAGCAGCGAGGGCAACAGCCCAGCGGAGATCTTCCCGCACCTCGTGCATCAGCTGAGCCTGCTGTTGTACACACCGATACCGGAGGACGAACTCCAGAGGGCCAAGAACCAGCTCAAGTCAAGCTTGGTCATGGCGTTGGAGAGCAGGAGCGTCGAGGTGGAGGACCTTGGGAGACAGGTGTGTTTTGGAAGCTTTATCTGTGGTCTCGTTACTCAAGTTCGCTGTTACAGATGCTTGTCCACAGCCGTAAGATTCCTGTCCAGGAAATGTGCGACCGCATTGACGAGGTCGATGCTGCCACGATTCGCCGCGTCGCCCATAAGTTCTTCGGCCCCGAGAGCGAGCGCAAGCCTACAGTTGTCGTGATGGCTCCTGAAGACGTGTCCCGACAGGAGTGCGCAATGACATTACGGAACTATGGCGTCTCGGTATAGCCTCTGTTTCTCGCAGCCATGTCCAGGTCTGTTGGGCTGCGGCACGCACCTCTGCATGTATGCTATCGTTACGACTCTCGTAATCTCTGATTCAATACCTTGCTCATTCGCTGACCACCGGTAAATCAGCTCAGTGAGAATGTCTGTATTCTTCCCCATCGCTCTCTCTCCAACACTGAGCTTCTCGGGCTGCCTTACACTGTCTGAGAAGTGTGCTAGTGTCTTTGGGTAGAAAATAAGAATGCGCCAGTCGTCCGTGACGGCGGGCTGCAGATTCGTCCCTAATGGTGCTGACATTTCGTCGGATTGTAGAGTAGCAACGACACCCGGCTCCACGTGAGATGTCTCAAGCTGTGGTATATGTTCCGCGAAGAGCGAAACGTCTTGAGGGCCAAGCGTAAGTTTAGCTTTGTCTGAGCCATGGAGCTCTCCACGTATGTCAGGATCATGAGGACTCAGGCCTAGGCCTCAGGCATCGCCGAAGAGCCTGATATTCTCGCTGACAAGCTGGCTGCATGTTCCCAGCGGGAATAGAATCCGTTCGCGGAGCTCGTACTAGCGGACGAGAATCTACTAGAGGCCTTGGAACAGAGGCAATCTCGCTCCTGCCACCATTCGAGCCCAACGCGCGTCGACGAGCCTAAGAGTATGCAGGTGCGCGAGCGGACCAAGACTGCGTAAATTACATCTGCGAGGTCGTTAACGTGCGATGACGGGTTCTCGAACCGGAGTATGTCTGACCTGTCGGGGACAGGCCTTACTTCAAGTTATGATCAGTGACGCGGGCTGCGTTGGCCTGAAGACACCACAGGACGTTTCGTATGTATGAGTCATACTCGCCACGGTGCCTTTCATTGACGTTTCGTGGCATAAATTTTCGAACGTAGTTCTTTCATGAAGCAATATGTCATCCATTTGCCATCTTGCCGACCACGCTCTCCATTGCCTCGGCGAAAAAACTCTCGAAAATCCCGGACAATTGCAGGGGCATTTCGTACATGCATGTGAGATGCTCCGGAGAGATGATGGTGGTCGATCTTCAACGGGCAGAGTATGACACAGTACCCGGAATTCTCCTGGCTGCGCGAGCGCCGCGAGGCACTTGTGCCGAAGAAGATGGGCACTTTTCAAGCTGAGTCTTCATCTCTACAGTCAAATTTCAAGACACTCGGGGTGGACGTAGAACGTTCGTTCATGGAGGCCATTTCTGGGTCCGTAGCAGCTTCCGGCGCTCGCGGTGAGCAAATGCGACAGCAGGTACTCTAAGCTGGCCGTAGATTATGTCGTGGTCCTAAGGCATGCAAAATCCGCCAACCTTTGCAGGCACTGGCCGACACGGACAAGGAGGCCAGGGCGGGAGCGCTGCAGAGCGATGGACGGTGCAGTGCAGGCCGGTCCCCACCTGCGGAGTCGCTGTCGACACTCTGCGGGCGCAGGCGGCCGTCACAGAGCGCGTCCAGTCACAAGCCTCGTCGATGGCATTACGTGACGCTCCGCGCGCTTTGGCCAATTATAACTGGGCAAAGTGTCCTGACCGGCACGACGCCGTCTCCTCTCACTCTTGCCTCTCTACTACCATGTCCCTTAAACACTTCAACATGACCTTCGCACCCTCCAACATGACCCTCGAGATGTGGGACACAGCATTCTGGGGCCCTGTCACAGCAACTCTGGACTGGTGCGAGGTGAGCAGCGTCTCACAGCTGGCATACGCGAGTCCGCTATCCACGAGGCCGTCCTAACTGTATGTGACGCTGCAGGCGAATTACAAGTTCAGTCGGTATATTGCGGAGGCTGCAAATACCTTCTCCAACCTTGTTACCCTCGCCTATGCCTGGTACGGCGTTTATCTAGTGCAAAAGGCGCATTTACCGCCGCGGTGCCTCATCGGCTGGGCGGTATGTTTCGGTGTTTTCCCCATCACTTACGTGTTCTTAAAATGCCGTTTGTGACACTATACCTATAGGGTTTTGCACTCGTCGGTCTTGGAAGCTTCATCTTCCACGCGACGTTGCTCTACGAGGCGCAATTGGCCGACGAACTGCCCATGATTTATGTCGCGTCGTACTGCTGTGCGATCCTTTTCGACTCAAAGCCCGGATATGGTGTGAGGAACCTAAGAACCTCCATGCTCTTTGTCTCGCTGCTCGTCTTCAATGTTTTGTTCACCTGGGCATAGTAGGTCGCTATTTGCTGCGGAGGGCTGCATGCACTAACTGCTGACATCCTGACAATCAGCGCAGTTTATAGGAACCCCGTGTTTCACCAGGTCGTGTTCGCGTCTATCATGTTCATGAGCCTCTTTAGAGCGACGTACCTCTTGAGAAGCGCACCCTACGCGCAGCCCATATCCACGCATGACAAGCGGACTGTCTCCCGCTTGTTTGGGACGGGCGCAGCGACGTTTCTGTTTGGGTTCCTGATTTGGAACCTTGATAACGTTTACTGCTTGAGGCTTACGAGCTGGAAAGAGTTCATGGGTTGGCCCGGTGCCTTCATACTCGAGGGTCACGCTTGGTGGCATATACTCACTGTGAGATGTCTTACGTCACGTCTATAATTCTGCTTCAACGCTGAATGTTTACAGGCTACGGGGACGTATCTCATGCTTATTGGACATACTTGTACGCGTTCACTGACTTGCTCGCTGCGATTTATACTGACCGAACATGTCTCTCTTTCGCAATTCAGTTTTGTAAGTCAGGTTCAATCAGGCGTGGTCAGTTTCAGATGCTGATTGTTGAACAGCACTCTCGGCATCAAAGACAACTTTGCCAACTACAAAATCACGAGCACATACGGCATTCCCGCCATCGAGCGTGTGGACAACTCTCGTAGCAAACCGAGCAAGTCCGAGTCGCAGTAAGGCTTGGAAGTCATGACCGCCCGCGAGATATCGAGGCGGCGCACACGAAAGCCTGACATAGTTACGACAGATTATCCCAATTCCCGTATCCTCATTCCATGTGTAGTATTGCCCTCAACAGATCCACATCTCGTCTATCCGCCGCAATATTTAATTTGTAGAGCCTGTATCGCTTCGGTCTCTCTTGCCGTAGTCTCCTCGTAAAGACTGCCGTATACATCTGTGTAGATGTTCTATTGTTTATTTAGCTAACGCGCACTCGCTGTCAAACGCTACTCAACGTTCTTCTCATCAGTGATGACGCGGGTGCTCTAGTTCTCAGCCATGACTCCTTAGGTGGAGAAAGTCCTCGTTATGCTTTGTGATATACTGAAGCCGTAATTGCCTGATGTTTGGCACGAACGTCAAGCCTCAAGAACACACCGGTGTGCATGCACTTTGCGGTCGCGGGTGCACGGGGTCCGGGTGCATCTGTCCTTCATAGCACTTAGTCAGCTGCTTTTTTCGACTGAGCGACTCTTCTAAGGGAGTATCATGAGCTGCTCTGCAATCCCGCTATGACGTTCCGTGTCACGTAGTTCGCGACTTTGGTAAGTCTTCTTACGTTACCAATGTTATTCACACGCCGCATGCTTGATAACTAAAAGTGAGCTGGTAGTGAGCCGACATACACCGTTGTCTCGAAATTCTAGAAATCCTTGTACAGGTGGCTCAATGCGTGCCTATACGCAGTCACGAAAGCCCATTTCTTGCATCGCCCTTGAAGGAGACTAGCGACCTCGTATCTATTGCGCGCGCGTGCAAGCTTTTTTACGAACTGGCTATGGACGTCCTGTAGGAGCACCTGAGGAGCTTAGATCCTCTGATGGCATCCATTCCGATGTCAGGCACAACAAACCACCTGGAAAACAAGGTGAGTAAGCAAAGCTATCGTTCAACGGGTCTGACTGACGAATTTGCAGTCTTTTTTCGCCAATGCAACCAGGGTGAAACGATTGTCCCTATCCAGTTTACCTGCGGGTGGCCTGCGACAGATGGGACAGTATATCTTCCCCTCTCGTTCGCTCTTGCCAAACCCCAAGGATCCCAACATCGGAGCCACGTTACAGGCGGTGGATGCCGAGTACTTCCGCATGCTGCTAGGCCCAAAGTTAAGATCGCTTTGGTTAGGGCAGGACGCCGGCGGCAGTGAGCTATACCTTCCTTATCTCCCGGGTGTGTGTCCTCGGCTTGAAAGCCTCACGACGTGGTCGTGGCCCACAGACTCGGAGGCGCAAGATATTATTGCACGCCTACCGAGACTTCGAGAGTTCACTGTAATTCAAATGAAGCTACCACCGCTTGCCAAGACCCATCTTTCCGCGTCCACCTTGCGTTCCTTATGCCTGTCAGGGGTCTCCCCTCAGTATTGGGACCTCGATTCAACGAGTTTTCCTTCCCTGACCCACTTTACTCTCGAAGAATGCCCCGACCTCAAGTCTATCGTTTGCTTCTTACGCGCGCTTCCCGCGACCACCCTGCAGGATCTTACGCTCGACTTCCCCAACAGTGCACCGAACATTCGGCTGGTGAACGAAGCCATCGAGGTTATCTCTCGGTTTCAGAGGTTGCACGAACTGTGGCTCTCCGGATGGGACAGTGACAATTTTCCAGACGGACAGGAGATCCCTCGATACAACATCGAACCTCTACTGTGTCTCCGCGAGCTCCGCGCGGTCTTTATAAGGCTCGGAGGCATAGGGCGCGAAGTCATCGACGGAATTGTGAAAAAGATCGGCACCGCCTGGCCACAGCTCAACAGCTTCGGGTTTGTGCAGAGCTGGTACAGGACAATGGAGCCTGCCGGCCTGACGCTCGAGGCATTGGGGTTGTTTGCAGCACATTGCCCCCGACTCACCAGCCTCATAATTGAGCTAGACGCGACCATGAAGCCCGACACACCGAAACCCGCCGAAGTTTCGCAGGCCGCTATTATGCTTGAGCTCAAGGGCAGCTTGATCGCGGAGTCGAGCTGGCCATGGGTCGCAAAATACATCTCGGCAGTTCACCCGAACGCCCAGCTGAGTATCGACGAAGACGAAAAGATGGATCAAGGAATGATAGGATATTGGAAGAATGTCATCAGCGTCCTCCCCGCCATGTCAGGGACCAAGTAAGAACACTCTGCAATCTCGGGTGTACGGAGTCCCTCATAGGCTCTTCGGAGGCGCTCAGAGCAGGTCTGACTCTTTCGCCAGAAGCTGGTGCGAGGCATGAGGACAACAGTTGTATTGCGGTGCTGATGGAAAGTGTGCGCAAGTCATGCGTGACATCATGGTTAAAACGTGGTCTGAGGTAGCAGGTCTACAGAAAATTAGAATAATGGTCAATCTTATTTCACACGAGACGCCTTCATTTTCCGCCAGCGAGTGTCCCGCCTGGCTATCAGGTAAATCTCAGCCTCGTCTCCGCGCGGCATCCACGCTGAGGTATTGTTCGGCTCAAGATTCGTCGCCTACACGTAGATGAGTTTGACACCAATGAAAGTCACTAGTGGCAGCTCACAATGAACCGCTCACCGGCTCGAAAGTCGCCGGGGGTCCCGTCCTCGCTCACATACGCAGCGAGCACGTCCCAGATGGTCACTTGCGCACGGAACTGCTTCGGCCGCTTCCGTGTCTCCGCGTCTTCCACGACGAGGACGCGGAAATTGCGCACTTTCCGCGGCGGGCACTCGGTCTAAGTGCAGGAAGCGTTCAGTACTCGTCTCCGGAAGGGTTCTATAAGTGTATAACTCAGACCTGGAGCTCTATCTCTATCTCTTCCGCCATGTTTTCCCTGTCGTTCGCAATCTTCTCGCGCATCGCCCGTGCGAGCCAGCCAGCTTCTGCCCGAGAGGTGCGCGAGACGATGTCCTGCGGACACTCGTAGGGCTGTGGAGTCGTCAGCGCGTCTTCCATGGTGCAGAGCAGATCATCTATTGTATCGGGCTGGGTATCTACATGACGGTCGGTCCGAGAAGGAGAGGTCAAAAATTGGATAGCGACGTACCTTCCGGCCGAGGCTTGAACTCCAGACCCGCGCGAATCTCGAGCCTATCTGCTTGTTTCTCCCATTCGCGAGATAGCTTGTCCATTTTCTCGCGGATCCTCTGCACTGCAGCATCTCGTTTGGCCTAAGGAAAAAGTCAGGCGTGTAACATCAAAAGTTTAATTCTTCACGAACGTTCCACGCGTCTTGAGCCTTAGCCTCCTCTGGCTCTTTCATCGGCGCCGACCACGATTTTTCTCCTTTGCTGTTGAAAAACTCAATATATGCTATCGGGAATGTCTACACGAGCGCCATGGGTCTAAGTGAGAAAGTAGAGCAGCAGCTAGAACGAACCTTGATAATCTTCAGGTCCATGACCGGCACCAGCCCGCCATCTGGTGTAAGACTCCCTAATGTCGCGACGAAAGGCTCGCTGTGGAATCCGAGCTTGGCATGCCATGGCGCGAGGTGGCAGCCATTACCGGAAACGGTTAGCGCGAATGAGGGTTCCTGTCCGACTCCAGCTAGAGGATTTTCAAGGAGCTCAAAGGGTTCTGCTCGACGGTCGAGTAGCTAAACTTCGTAAGTGACAGATGCGAAGCACGAGGACAGTTGACTCACCCTAGCACCGACAACTCCGACTTTCATCCCTACACGCAACGCCCCGCGGCGTATCGCGCGGATCATCGAATCACCGACCTCCACGCGAACACGGTACCACCCATCAGTCATTTCAACCTCTGGCTTGTCGTTATGCGTGGCCTCCATCTGTGGCGGGACTTCTGAGCCAGTATCTGGAGCGCTCGGCCAGGATATGGCTGATACGCAGAGGACCATGGGAAGACCCGCTGGCTTGTCCTGAGCTGCGATGAGACGCAGCGGGGGCCGTGTGCCGCGGTCGAGCTCACGCTCGTACCTGGAAACCGCGAAATACAGTCAGCAGCCCGTCTCCGCGACGCGTAGAAGGGCAAAATGTACCTGTAGAGTAGCTGTCGGACGACCTCAGCCCAGCACCATCTCCTCGACTTAACGTCTGCCTCGCTTTGTGGGTCGAGCGCAACCATTCCGGCGAGCTTCCAGAGGATCAGACCCCAGTGGTTCTCTACCCATGGCAAAGTCGCGAGCCGGCATCCGCGGGCCTTTAGCTCCTGGAAGGCCTCTTCAGGACCCAAGATAAGTTGCTGTGTAGAAGACTCCTCCGTGTGTGGTTGGGAAGCGGACGGCTCGGGCGCGGGTGCCGATGCATGGAAGCGATACCATTGGGCAGTGCTCGGTGCCATCTGTGAGAGGACCTCGAAATTTCTGGGAAGTCTCTTCAGTGAAGCTTCATGATGTCTGACACAAGATACTCACATGCCGTAGGACTCCAAACTCTCTCTGGAATGGGATTGAGGTCGAAGGCCGGAGGAGGTGAGCGTCTGCCTGTTTGGCGGGTGCCCTATATGCGTGCAATATATGTCATTTTCTCGGCGGCGTGTGGGACAAGACCCTTACCCAGATCAAAAAATGCTGCACGACCCTTCCCATTATCCTTTTTTGCCGGTGTCTTGTATACATGCGGAGCAATACCAACAATGCTTGGTTTAGGCGTGCTCGTTCTCTGGCTGACTTCTAGCTGCGCTCTGCCCGGCTCGCCAGGCTTCATCCCCACCTTAAACGGCGTGAAAAAATTGGGTTTCTTTGCCGAGCCACTGACTCCCAACCGTCGCGGTGTCAAACCAAGAGACTTCTTGGTGGGGGTCACGAACGGACTGTTCGAGCTGAAAGACACGGAGGGGAAGGCTGCTTTTAGTGGAGGCGTGAATGAAGGGGGCTTGGGGCCAGTAGAAGGGCGGGGATGGGTTGGGATGAGGGGAGAGCTGAAAGATGGCGTAAAGGATGGCCCAGGGATGGACTTGTTGAGAAGTGGGGATTTGAAGGGTTTTCGGCTCCCCAAGGGGGTAGAAAGGATCGATGAAGGGCGTTTGAATGCCGTACGCACTGGCGTCGGCGTGTCCGGTGGCTCTACTTGAGGACACGACTGACTTGAGGACAGAGCAGCGGAATTCTCCACACCCTTCAGGGCGACACGCCCGAAGGTGGGCAGCTGAGAAACTGGCATAGGATCTTGCGCCGACATCGTATTATCCTGGCCAAAGGGCTCGGATAGCTCCTCGTCTATCTCTGCCTCCCAGCGTTTCATACGCTCCGCGGCCTTCGCTAGAGATTCTGCAGACGGCGCGGACCAGGAATTTGTCTTTGTCGCTTTGCCAGAGTCGAGCAAGCTTGTTCCAGTTTGGAAGCCAACAAGAATATCACTACTTTCCAGTTTGCTGCCTTTAGTCTCGATGGAAGGGCAGGCGATACTGACGCCCGTTGGGTGATCCATGAAAGAGCTGGCCATGTCCGGAAAATCTGTTTCAGACTGAAAACTGAGGGGAGCACCAGGGGCCGAAGTAGCATTGAGCCAATTATCTCCTTCGTGATACCCATCGTCGCCACTAGGAACCATAGCTAGCTCTTTAGCTGATTGGAACGTGGCGCCGACAGGAGGAGTGCCGGTGGGTTGGTACCGTGATGTCATTTGCTCCTGCCGCTGCACAGAAGGGGAGGACGAGATGGATTCCGAGCTTGACTGCTTTCCAGTAGGTGTAACGCGATCAGATCTTGGGTCTGTGGCCTCGGAGGCAAAGTGGGTCATAGAAGCGGCAGGCTGAAAGCCTAACACAGAACGTGACACCCGTGTCACTGTATCGCGACGTAATTGATTCCAGAGAGCCGTCGAAGATACGACAAACTAACCTCTTTGAACTCTATTGGGCATAGAGTCGTGCTCTGATGTAGAGGTCGTAGTGAGTCCTATGTCGCTGAAGATGCCTTGAGACAAGGGCTGAGGTGGCCTAGATAGAGACTCAGACGCCTGAGACATCTGTCTTTCGAGCATGTCAAAGGCATTGAACTCGTCCTGGCTGAACATCTCGAACTGTCATCGTAAGTGGGCGATGAGAGTCTCTGCCTCTTCTGTGGCGGAGACTCGGAGTCCGTATCAGACTCGCCTAAATATTTAGCAAAGCACAGGTTGTCGTGGAAGTTATGGGTATTTACCGTCATCCCGCATCATAAATTGAAGCCTACGTTAGGTGGTCACTTGGTGGTACGTGACAGCCTGGATGAGCGTTCGACGCGTAGCGCGCACTCCGAGTGGTCACGTGGCATTTCACGAGCGGAAGGTTATTCAAACCTCTCCAATACTGGCAGAACGTTGACCAGCATTTTCACAATAGGTTCACGGTGATAAGTTGTACTCCGTTGTACTACCTTTGTAGTTCCACTAATCTCGGGCCCTGGCAAAATCTTTGGTCAAGTTTGGTGGCGTTGCCGCGTTTGTCGACTGAAGCCTGTGCGGTATGGTCTTCGCTATCAAGTTCTGCTAGGGGCCCGGCAGACGCGATATGATCATCTGCATACGAGGCTACTTGCAAAGAAAGCGTGATATTCGGCACAAATATTGCTAGAGCGATGCAGATACAGCGTAAGCTCTCCACTTTCCCTTCTCCAACAGAGTTCGTTCACGTCACATGCTGTGCTTCCCAGCATTGGGATAGCTTCGTTCATCGGAACGGTGAATCGGAACTGTCTGTTCGTGTCCCACGAATATATCATTGTATGATAGATACGTCGAAGGGGATCACAGGATGTAGATGCTATTATGTATTGGGAAAAGAGACACCCTGTCGGACGCAACCCAATCTGTCGTGCGTATGATGAAGATTTGACCCTCAGCATCGAGTTTGATGAATGGCTCACATATATAGTACCTTGTTATTCACACGTCGTCCACCACACACACCGCGTGTTCTCTTTGCATACGCCACCTACTCGAGTGTTGCTGTGCCACTGTCTTATCGACCTCTCATGTCACAGCCTGTGCCGGTGGATTTCCTGACGTGTCCCAGTCAGGACATGCGGGACGCATTGGCTACGGTTGGCACGTTAATCTCGGAAATCGGGCTAAACACCACCTATATGCTACAAACCGTTCTGCCCGAGGTCGCACTGTTCGGTGAGTGCCAGCATCCGACGTTCAACTTACTCGTCAGCTGACAACACCATACAGGTGTTTTCTCGCTCTTGATCGTTTTGTCTACATTCATCCTCCTGTGGGCGGTTTTCGCTGATTCGAAAATTTCCGCTGACCGCCCCACTAGGCACAATGGCTTAAAGCGGATTTCCCGCGTCGTTGTGGCATTTATATGTATGCTCATGTACGCGATGGCAGCCGCACACATGGCCATTTCAGTGCGATATGCTTTTCGCGACGCCACGGCCTCGACATCGATACAGACTATTGCCTCTCAGTGTGTCAACGAGCTGGCGGACGGGGGAAGCTGCAGTACAGATCTCAGCATGCCCACTGATGGTGTGCTCGCTGTCGGTGTCGTGGCGATGTCGTCTTCCTGCACGACAACCGCTCTCTTGATCGTCAATGTACGTGGGACCTTGCAGCAACGGATTCTATCTCGTGACGCTTACGGCTAAGTCTTCTTGCTCTCCAGATCATACTCAGCGACTGCATCGTCCTGTGGAGGGCCTGGGTCTTGTGGTCCAAGCGTCGCCTTCTCACTGCCATATCGGTCGTCCTAGTCTCGTCTACACTTGGTAAGTTGTAACTGTGCGCGCGCGATTTCAAATTTGTAATTTGAAAATTCTTCTACCTCATAGTCATGTCGTCGCTGAATGTCCGCAACAGCTGTCAGATAGGTTACACTACGGGAAATGAGTTTACCAACGATGTTTACGGCCTTGCTGCTTTTGTTCTGTCGCTGCTGACGAACATCTGGGCGACGTCTCTAATTTCATACAAGGCATGGTGAGCTTATTTGTCGGCAGGATAATCATCAGTTTAGACTGAGAGGGCATCGGCATACAGGCGGCATCGTAATTCTGTGAGACGCGCATTCAAGGGCGGGAGTGCAGGTACTCGTAGCGCCAAGATACTCATGCTCTTTGTGGATTCTGGGCTGCTGTACTGCGGGCTGTGGGTACGTATTTTCTATACCTGGCACACTAATGTACTGATGAAGCTTTCACACGAATTGTCCAGATACTTCTAGTTGCCTATATTGTTGTTACGAAATATGGCATCTCAGGGCTCATCCGGGTGCGCTTTATACGGGACATGGAAAATGCAGTCAGCTCAGTCCTCATTGACATCATCGTGAGATTAGTCTTGCTTCAAGATTAACCCCCGCTAAATTGTCTCGATCATCGCATAGGGAATGTACCCAACAACCCTCGTTCTTCTCGTCTTTCTGACAGATTTCACCCTGGAGGGCGCCACAAAAGTCAAAAGCATACCCGTCCAACTGCCGGCACCAAATCGAGCCAGCATCATCACACGATCCAACCCCGTGTTCCACTCAACAGCGACGGTGATGACCGAGGACGGAGATCCATACACCCAGAGTGTCATTGCCATCCTCGGCAATGAGAGTTCCGCAGACGATGAATCTGACATACTTGAAAACAAAGATCATGCATTGGTCGTTTAACGTGCAACGCACTCGATGAATCTGTCGATACGTTGCCGGCTTGGTTTCATTGTAGGCCGGACTCGCTGCTACTAGTGTGTCATGTGACGACATGGTTGCCTTGAAATACTTCGCTTGTTTAATCTATGCATCCAGTATTTATGTATGATTGATTAGCATGTCAGAGTTTGTACTGTTTTGGAGTCTATATAACAGCTAATGAAGCCGCATGAATTCTGTCTACGTGCACTGTGACACGCGGTGTCCGTACGCCACAGCGTCGGCGCCGGCGATGCTCGCCTTCCATCTTCGCCTGCTCCGAATACTAGTACGTCCTTCCAGGTCTTTGGTACTGAAAAAGCACTGCCTGGCTTGGCTAGCACTTCACCTAGACTCAGCTGTGGCATGCGTCTAGTAGCACGGCGCCGGTGAGTGATCAGCATGAAAGACGGTCTTCAATGTGTGTTATCGAACGGGATTTGTCCAAGTTCTGATAGCCCAGGACCCCGTGCGCACGGAGGCACCATTAAAAGAGCCACGGCGCCGATCCAGCTGATGGGACAGCTTCGCTTTCGTCTTCACAAGCCGCAGAAGTTTTGCGCTTTGTGAGTGATCTGGTTGCAACGTTCAGCTGGTGTCAATTAATCCTTGGAAGTATTGTTGGCTGGCCTTTGCGAGCCTGCCATCCAACGTAGGGCCACCCACACCGGCGAACTACCACGGGAGCGTATCGCCACTGCCGCCGCTTTTTTACGCGCCGTTCGTAGTGTGTAGCTTGACATCTTGGCAGTCTCCTATCGTCATACCTGCTGTATTCGGGGCTCTCGCCGTCGTGCGTTTATCGGCAGATTGCACACAGAACCGACGTCCGATGAGTCTCCATCCTACGGCCATCTACTGACATCTCCCTCTGTGCGACTCGAAGGGGGGTAACCACGGTATCTGGCTGCCCCAGCAACGTCGCGCTCCGACTAGGACAGGCATCGAATGGCGGAGATATATCTATCTTCATGCGACGGAAGACTTCCTGCACGTCATCCCTTGTTCTGCTCGTTTCTCTGACAAACTTCACCGTGGAAAGCGCGACGAACCTCGAAGATGTGGCTACTCCACCCATCAAGCCGCTGCGGTCGATCAGATGTCGCAACACTACACGGTCTGACATTGACGTGCTGGACCCAACAGCAGCAGTGATTACTGGGAACGGCGACTAGGATCTATATATCTAGAGGGTCATCGCCATTCTCAACGACGAGAGCTGCAAGGGGGAGGAGGCGTCCAGAGTGCTTTGGACTATAGAGGACTCTGTTACGGCTACCTGACGCAATCTCGGTGAATCCGTCAATGCGTTCTCCGCTTGGTTATCGCTGTCTGAGGTCTACTACTACCCAGGCCGCTGGTGGGCAGAGTTGGACTCGCAATCGATTCGGGCTGCTGGGTTTATCTATCTGATAGTCATGTGCACGTCGTGGGTCATTTCTAAACATGTGCTGTGATTGGGTCTATAGAACAGCTGAAGGAAGCCTTGAGTTCCGTGTCTTGCCTGGAGGCTGGCACGCGGTGCCCGCACGCCACAAAGCCGGCGCTAGGAGCAATTTGGCTGCCTTGGCTCCGTTGTGGATGTTCTTCCGACTCCTCCAGGTCTTGGCCGCCGAAGCAGCCATGTCCAGCTCGGTAGATACCTCGCATAGACGTGACGTGCGCCTCGTGTGATGTGAGACGAAGATGACGCGCTTGAGCAGACGGTATCACCGCCCGCATTGCTTCGCGGTCTCACCGCGAAGCGGTGTCAGCGCATCAGCGGAAGGCAGCGAAGGTAGAATTGGACAGGATGCGATGCAGATGGACGTAATTTTTAAGTGCGGTTGCCAACGTGCAAGGCCTGCGCGAGGCAGTACGGTTTAACGGCGGCAATTCCCGAGGCCTATATGACATCGATCGCTAAACGGGATTTATCCAACGCACGCCCACCGCACTTCACCACCTCCACCTCCTCCACCTCTTTTCCCAGCTACTTTCAAGTCTCCTAATTCTTTTCTTTACGACGCAGCAATGGCCGCCGAATCTCTTCGCCGACGCTACGAGGCCGCAGGCCAGGGTCACCTCTTGCAGTTCTGGCCTCAGCTATCAGACTCTGAACGCCAGCAGCTGCAAGCTCAGCTCGAGGCACTTGACATCGAACGTGTCAACCGTGTTTACAAGAAGGCAATTGGCGCAGAGAAGGAGCGTGCAGAACAGGCGGGTCAGGACGTCGTCGAGCCCTTGCCAGAGGACGCGGCGGGTTCCATCATTGGAGGCACCGAGGACGAGAAGAAGTGGAGGAGCATCGGTCTCAAGGCCATTTCCAGGGGCGAGCTCGGTGTTCTGCTCATGGCTGGCGGTCAGGGAACGAGGCTCGGCAGCACGGCCCCCAAGGGTTGCTACGACATCGGGCTGCCCTCGCACAAGTCGCTTTTCCAGTACCAGGCCGAGCGGATCGCCCGCTTGCAGAAGATCGCCGCCGAGGAGACCCAGTCATCTAAACCTGCTGTCATTCCCTGGTACGTCATGACCAGCGGGCCGACCAGGAAGGAGACGGAACAGTTCTTCGAGAAACATGCGTATTTCGGGCTGGATTCCAAGAACGTGGTCTTCTTCGAGCAGGGTACGTGTCCGTATCTGAGACGTGGAGGAACGTGCGACTTATGATGCTGTATCCTCAGGCACATTGCCGTGCCTTACTATGGATGGTAAGGTCATTCTAGAGACGCCCTCGAAGGTCGCTGTTGCGCCAGACGGCAACGGTGGTGTCTACGCCGCGCTGCGCCGTCCTCTGAACCCCTTCGACGACTCCCACACCGTCCTCGCCGATCTCGCGAAGCGCAATGTCCGCTACGTCCACGCGTACTGCGTCGACAACTGCCTTGTCAAGGTTGCCGACCCTGTCTTCCTGGGTCACTGCATCGAGAAGCAGGTCGATTGCGCCGCCAAGGTCGTCCCGAAGGCGTACCCCACCGAGTCTGTCGGCGTCGTCGCGCGCCGCGGCAACAAGTTCAGCGTCGTCGAGTACTCCGAGATCTCGCAGGAGCAAGCCGAGCGGCGCGACCCCAAGACGGGCGAGCTCGCCTTCCGCGCCGGCAACATCGTGAACCACCTCTACACGCTCGACTTCCTGGAGGAGGTCGAGACCTTCGAGGACGAGCTCGCGTTCCACATCGCGCGCAAGAAGATCCCGTACGTCGGCGAGGACGGCGCGACGATCAAGCCCACGAAGCCGAACGGGATGAAGCTCGAGATGTTCGTCTTCGACGTCTTCCCCTTCACGAAGCGCTTCGCCGTGCTCGAGGTCGCGCGCAACGAGGAGTTCAGCCCGCTCAAGAACGCGCCCGGCACCGGCTCAGACGACCCCGGCACCAGCCGTCGCGACCTGCTCGCGCAGCACAGGCGCTTCCTCGAGGCCGCGGGCGCGAAGCTCGCGGACGGCGTCGAGATCGAGGTCTCCCCGCGCGTCAGCTACGCGGGTGAGGGCCTCCAGTCGCTCAAGGGCAAGACGTTCACCCGCTCGGGCCTGGTCGAGTCCCTGGAGGAGTTTGATGCCCTGCTTTAATCATCGAAAGATATACATCTCGGACGCTCTACGCATATAATCCCTCCCCGCATCTCACACTAACGGAATGGACTACACCCTAGAATAGTAATCTTGGACGATTGGTTGACCGGTTTGTAATCGCATACAGGGACATTCAGCTCCGCTTTGGATGAACTCTCACGCTCGTGTTTACACTTCGTGACTCGTTCACAGCGAGCAGTGGGACGGTGTCGGCAGTTCGCAGCGGCATAGCATTGACAGAGCGAGGTACGATATCGAAAATGTCCTGTGTCACCCGCCTACAAGTCCGTCTGGGTTCCCTACGGGCATTGTCCCACGCCGCTCGAGCTCTTCCCGCAAGGACGCAAACAGCCGCTGTGTCCGTTCGGCGTTTGGCTGCAGTTGGTGTCAGAGAGGCGCAGAGTCGGTATACGCGGTGGGGGGACACACTCTCTTTGCAGCACGCTATGAGCTTGTCGATCAGCGCGCTCTGACCCTTTTT